TAGATTCTAGTGATCATTCCCTGTATAGGTGCTGGATGTATAGAGATTCTAGTGATCATTCCCTGTATAGGTGCTGGATGTATAGAGATTCTAGTGATCATTCCCTGTATAGGTGCTGGATGTATAGAGATTCTAGTGATCATTCCCTGTATAGGTGCTGGATGTATAGAGATTCTAGTGATCATTCCCTGTATAGGTGCTGGATGTATAGAGATTCTAGTGATCATTTCCTGTATAGGTACTGGATGTATAGAGATTCTAGTGATCATTTCTTGTATAGGGATTCTAGTGATCATTTCTTGTATAGGTGCTGGATGTATAGGGATTCTAGTGATCATTCCCTGTATAGGTGCTGGATGTATAGAGATTCTAGTGATCATTCCCTGTATAGGTGCTGGATGTATAGAGATTCTAGTGATCATTCCCTGTATAGGTGCTGGATGTATAGAGATTCTAGTGATCATTTCTTGTATAGGTGCTGGATGTATAGAGATTCTAGTGATCATTCCCTGTATAGGTGCTGGATGTATAGAGATTCTAGTGATCATTCCCTGTATAGGTGCTGGATGTATAGAGATTCTAGTGATCATTTCCTGTATAGGTGCTGGATGTATAGAGATTCTAGTGATCATTCCCTGTATAGGTGCTGGATGTATAGAGATTCTAGTGATCATTCCCTGTATAGGTGCTGGATGTATAGAGATTCTAGTGATCATTCCCTGTATAGGTGCTGGATGTATAGAGATTCTAGTGATCATTCCTTGTATAGGTGCTGGATGTATAGAGATTCTAGTGATCATTCCTTGTATAGGTACTGGATGTATAGGGATTCTAGTGATCATTACCTGTATAGGTACTGGATGTATAGGGATTCTAGTGATCATTACCTGTATAGGTGCTGGATGTATAGAGATTCTAGTGATCATTCCCTGTATAGGTGCTGGATGTATAGAGATTCTAGTGATCATTCCCTGTATAGGTGCTGGATGTATAGAGATTCTAGTGATCATTCCCTGTATAGGTGCTGGATGTATAGAGATTCTAGTGATCATTTCCTGTATAGGTGCTGGATGTATAGAGATTCTAGTGATCATTCCCTGTATAGGTGCTGGATGTATAGAGATTCTAGTGATCATTCCCTGTATAGGTGCTGGATGTATAGGGATTCTAGTGATCATTCTGTATAGGTGCTGGATGTATAGAGATTCTCATTCCCTGTATAGGTGCTGGATGTATAGAGATTCTAGTGATCATTCCCTGTATAGGTGCTGGATGTATAGAGATTCTAGTGATCATTCCCTGTATAGGTGCTGGATGTATAGGGATTCTAGTGATCATTCCCTGTATAGGTGCTGGATGTATAGAGATTCTAGTGATCATTCCCTGTATAGGTGCTGGATGTATAGAGATTCTAGTGATCATTTCCTGTATAGGTGCTGGATGTATAGAGATTCTAGTGATCATTTCCTGTATAGGTGCTGGATGTATAGAGATTCTAGTGATCATTCCCTGTATAGGTGCTGGATGTATAGAGATTCTAGTGATCATTTCCTGTATAGGTGCTGGATGTATAGGGATTCTAGTGATCATTTCCTGTATAGGTGCTGGATGTATAGGGATTCTAGTGATCATTTCCTGTATAGGTGCTGGATGTATAGAGATTCTAGTGATCATTTCCTGTATAGGTGCTGGATGTGAGATAGTGATCATTCTAGGTGCTGGATGATCATTCCCTGTATGATCATTTCCTGTGCTGGATGTATATAGTGATCATTTCCTGAGGTGCTGGATGTATAGGAGTTCTAGTGATCATTTTGTATAGGTGCTGGATGTATAGAGATTCTAGTGATCATTCCCTGTGTATAGGTGCTGGATGTATAGAGATTCTAGTGATCATTCCCTGTATAGGTTAAAGGACATTCAACTAACATTTATGCCTTCATTCAAGAGACAGATCCTTTGCTTAGCTTTTAGTCTTGTCTCATATTTTATGTGACACAAAACTTAATTCTTTGATAGAATGAACATAATAGTGTACTTGTTGCTTCACTTCTAGCCATGGGTGTAGAGATCATGTAGGTTCTTCTGCAGAAACATCATGGCTTGTTTGTTCTGATTCTTGAAGTGAGGTAGGCACATGTTGCCACTACAGCAGTCTTTGGTTGTCTAAATCTCTGACTATTGGTTCTCTTACAATCTGTGTCTGTCATGACTATATCATAAACTCTTTGTGTGTGTGTGTGTGGAGCTGAACAGACCATCTCAGCTAGTACATCACCATCTAGGCCTGTAGGAAGTATATCCGAATATCTCACCTGTATTGTCAGCAACAGTTATCTCATATAGTAAGTACCTTGCAGGTCTATCAGGAGTCTCTTATCTGAATCTCTTTGTATGTGGAGCTGAACAGACCACCTCAGCTGGTACAACCCTTTACCTCTAAGGAAGGTTTCTCAGGATCTTAATTTCCTTTCAGGATGCAAACACAGCCATTAAATTTTGTCTGCCTAAATAAATTCATATTGTTTTCTGTGTTGTTTGAGCAAAGGAGTATGTCAATCTTTTCAGATGCCGATGAAGAGACAGCTGCCAAGAAGGGGGTCAAGAAAAGGAAGTGGAACTCCAAGGCCTCGAAGGCTGGCAAGACGACAAAGCGGACCAGCAGTATGGAGATCTCCTCTGATGTACTCAAGGTATGGCAGACTTGACACTTTGCTGATTGTGTCAGTACAGTTGAGTTTGTTGCCCAAAATTGACTCACCTCTTCCACCAAGCTTGCCGTAAAAGTCAACTAATTAGGGAGTGTCTGTTTTAAAGTCAGTGTACATCTGCCTGAGAGGCAAGCAACCAACAGTCTGCATACACATAAGCCAGATCTGTAAAACATGGACACGTAAAACTCTGGAGCAAGACTACACAGTCCAGGAGTAGACAAACAACCAGAAGTTAAGTCATCTATGAACTTTTTAATGTATCAGTACAATTAATTCATCCTTGAACCAGTACAGTGTGTAATTTAGTCAGCCAAGAACATTTGTGTACATTGGAACAGTTTTTGTTGTCTTAGTCAGCGAAGTTTCTTCATGCATAGTACAAAATTACCTGGCCCCATTGTGGGGGCAAAGAATAGACCCCACCACTCCCTAACCATCATTTCGTAAGAGCCAACTTTTTAGGGAGAGAGGGGTGGAACTGACAGTCTGCATACAAATAAGCAGGATCTGTGAAACGGATGTGCTAGCAAGACTATGGAACAAGACAAGTTCTGAAGTGGATGAACAACCAGAACTTTCCACTGGGATTTACAGCCTGTGAACACAAAGAAGTTTGATTCAACTAGGGACTTTTGCATACCTCGGTTACATCTTTTGTGTACAGCTTAGTCCATCAGATGAACAGAAGCAGCTGGCCCAAGGGTTCAAAAAGTGGGCTAGTCATGCTGGAGACCAGGTTTGATTCCTCTATACGGTTATAGGTTTGTTTTTAAATCTGCAGCTAGAATAAATTGCTAACCTGCAGTCTGTGTCAGCTGCACCAGCTATGCAGTCCTAAATCCTCAGATTCAAACCCCCGACATACACCACAGAAGTAGCATACAGGCAGTAGTGGCCATTTTTATGGCAGATTTAGTCTGTCATAGACTTCTTAATGTATCATTAACATATATAATCACAGTACGGGGCAAAAGCTCAGGTATGTTAACTCGGCATGATGAAGGATAATCAGAGAAGTATAAATCCTGCCATATTATCTTCATACACAAAGTGTTTCTTGTCTGATTTGGCCAGAACCTGATAGGAGATGTCAAGCTGACCGAGACAGTGTTTGAGATGGAGACAGAGGTGGTCAACACCCTGGACTATGATGACCAGGAGGAGGACCAGCGGGATGTCCGAGTCAAGAAGGCTCTGGTGAGTGTTAGAATTAATGTGCTTCTTATATGTAACCCTGACTGATACATGATTGAGTTGTAGCAGTGAACCTGAAAGGTGTGGGCTCTGTCAACCCCTTTCCCCACCACAATATAAGTGGGTTTTTGAGACATGGCTGTAGAGAGGGGGGTGGGTTTTTGTGGGGGGGTGGGGGGGGGGGGGGGGGGGGGGTAAGAGTAGGTTTGTATGACATTTTGGGATGAAGTGAGTTTGTTTGACATCTGGGTAATAGAGTGAGTTTAATGTTTGGGGATAGAGTATGTGTGAAACTGGTGGTAGAGTTTGTGTGACAACTGAGTTTGTGTGACAACTGAGAGTTTGTGATAAATCAAACAAAAAAGAGGTTAGATACTTCTGCATGGGAAGCATAAGGCATTCTTGTAATCTGGAGCATTGCACAGTGATGTCTGAGGTTTGTTTATGGAGAAAATATTAAATATACTATATTTGTTAGTACAGAATTGAAGCCGCCCTGGTGTGGTGGCTAGACGCTCGCCTGTGGATCACAAATAAGAAAAAAATGACCTTGGCTCCCAGGCCGACCCAGCCTTGAGTGGGTACAAGGTGCAGTTCTAGAAAGTAAAGGCGGCTGGCATTTTGCTGGCCACAATACTCACAAAGTGACCATCTCTATATAAAATATAGGTCTAGCCATGTATGCCTAATACGCCTGAAAATATGGAAACAGATTCTTTACTTTTAGTCCAGAATGTTGAACCAACATGTTTATGGCTGTTTTTCTGTATTTTTCTGGTGCTGTTCTGTTGATGCTTCGGGCATAGATAAATCAGCTGTCTGCTTGTCTCCTTCAGTCACCAAAAAAAGAAGAAAGATTAGAAGAAGAGGATGCCAGGAGAGTAGAGACACGAGATGCATCTCCCGAGTCGACGGCTGCAATTGCTTCTGAACCAGAGAAGAAGATCATCAAGTTGAGTAGTGCTGCGCCAAAGGTTGCAGTGAAGACTAAAGTGAAGAAAAGCAAAAGTGACAAGAAAGATGCTGTGGGGAAGAAAGAGAAAAAACAAGATGCTGTTGCAGATGCAGAGCCTAAGGGTAACATTTGTAACAGTTTTGTGGTGTTCATTATATTCTGCTGTGTGTCTGTCACTCATGCATAAGCAGCTAACTTATGACCAATCATTATTCTTTCTTGTCCCTGCTTGATTGATTGGAATTTCAGCTCTATTGCTTTGCCATCAATCTTACCATTTGTCTTTATATTCTGCATGTGTATTAGTTGATGCAAGCTTGTAGTTTATAAGTAATTGTGGTCCTCTGTGTTTTCATCCATACAACAGGATCAGTTTTAGATTACAGTGAAGAGTTTGGTGCTAGATTTGCTTTTTGTTGATGTCCAGAAATTGTGTGAACATAAAAACTTCCTCTTTCATTGTAATATTATTGTTAATACTTCCATTTGTTTTCTCGTTTTATCTACATTGTGAGGCTTCAACCAGGACAGATGTGGTTATCATATGCCCATTCATTCTCAGAATCTGTGTGTGTGTGTATGTTTTTTTTAAATTTTTATTTGGTTTGTATGGGGGAGGGGGGGGGGGGGGTAGGTGCAGTATATATATCTCTCCATCTCACTCTTTGAGAGTTAATTTTTCTGAAAGAGACAGTAGTGTTTTAATAATTGTTGCTCATAGGTAAATGAAACTACCTTAGTGGTTTATGTAAAGTTGACACTTATAATTAATGATTGAATTTTGCTCTGGCAGAAAAAGTGGTTGCTACAAATCGAGTGATTAAACCATTGATGCCTGTGGTTGATGAGCCAGAACCCATGACTGATCGGCAGTCGCCCGCCAGAAACCCACCAGACAGGGTCATACGTATCGCTGGCCTGGTTCGACCCTTTACTGTGAATCAGCTGAAGGAACTTCTGAGACGATCGGGGGAACTGGATGATGAATATTTCTGGATCAGTGACATCAAGTCTCATTGTTTGGCAGCAGTGAGTTTTTCTTGTGCGATCTTTGTTAGTTTATACAGGCAGGGGTTCGTGTTTGTGGCTGTAAGTTCCACCTATTTCTGGACTTTGATCTTGTTCCAGAACCTGAGTTTTGCATGCACATCTGTTTTACAGGTCTGGCTGTTTTGTTTGCGGGCTGTTGGTTCCTTGTCTCTCAGGCAGATGCATTCCAACTTCAAAGGAAACATCCCTGACTCCTACGACATGACTTTTTTTAAGATGCCAGTTGGTCAATCCTCCCCCCCCACCCCCCCCCCCCCCCACCCCCCACCTTGGGGCCCCAGAACCCACACAAAGAAAACAGATCAAGTATGAAACTTTGTGGACGACATTAATGGAGTCATTCAGTGAAAACAGAGGCATACAGTAATATGTAGAGATAAGGGTACACATATAGAAAATAAGATGGTGTATAAATAGATGGATGGATAAGAAATTTGTGATTGGGCAAATAGATGGGTCTGAATTTGTATAACATCACAGCTTGCTAGATATCCTGACTCAGCTACCAATCATCTGTGAAATTGCAATCCTAGTGGCATTAAGCAGATTTTGACAATAGGGCAGGCAGTAGGTATAAGGATCCCGGACAAGTGTTCAATATTAATTTCCCATAGGTTTAAAACATTTAAACTTTGAATAAAGTGAAGTATATAACAATGTTTGTGTTTATTTTACAGTACAAAACACAAGAGCAAGCTATGGCGGCCAGAGCTGCCCTGCATGGAACACGATGGCCGCAGTCAAACCCGAAGATTCTCTTTGTGGACTTTGCTACAATAGATGATGTAAGTAGACTGGTAATTTGTTACAGTAGATGTATAATACAGGTTGACATTAGAAAATCTGGCCATCGATAAAGCGGTTCCTATGGATTTCGGAGCTCATTTTTAAATTTACCTCACTGCTGTTTTCTGGAGGTGCTGTTTATGTTTTGATGGCACTGAGCTTTAGAATTAGCTGTTTCTTGCAGGTGTTACAGGTATTCCTTATGATACATTCTCATTGTAAATTTGCTGCTGTATAGTTCCATTAGGGATTCACCAAAGACATGAGGTGGTGTAAAATGTAAACAAAGAAACAAGTCTGTATTGATAAATTAATGACATTGATAACTGAACTGCTGGCTGGACTAGTACAAGCAAGTTTTGTAAGTGAACAAGAAGGCATGAATGTTGACTTGCTAACAGATAAACTTATCAGAGAAAGACCCAAGTATGGGAAGCAACAGACACTGCATGATATATTCAAGAAAATAAACAGGAAGCAGGAGAAAGCAGCAGCGGTGTCAAGACGTGATCGTCCTCAGCCATCAACTCCACCTGATGGGCTGTCACCATCATCAGCATTTCCTCCACAAACTGATGCTGATGCTGAGGATGCGGTTGCTGTTGGACATGAAGATTATCTTCTTGACAGCTCTTTAGCTCTTTTAAATGTTCAAAGTCCTGATTACAATTCCGAGGAACTAATTTATTTAGTGGAATTAAAATTCTGAGGAACTAGATTATTTAATTGAATTAAAATTCAGAGGAACTAGTTTATTTAGTTAAATTAATATTCTGAGGAACTCTGGTTGCTTGGAACAGCTCTATGGATGATATCCCTCCATGCCATCATTTCAGCACATCCATTATCTCTTGATCTGCCTCTACCCCCTATTCCACTGATATTTCCAGTTGTCACGATATTCTCCAGCGTCTCTCTTCTCATTATGTGGCCAAAGAACAGTTTTTGTCTTTTTCTTATTGTTGTATACAGAGATCTACTTTCATTAGCTTCTTTTAAACAATCGTTGTTAGTTCTCTGGCCATTCAAGGTATTCGTAACGTTCGTCTCAGAAACAACATCTCTGCTGCTTCCAAGTTCTTCCTAATTTGTTCACTGACATTCCAAGATTTGCTGCCATACAGCAGAACAGGTTCTATGTAACATTTTAGCACTCTCTTTCTGACATTAAATGAGAGGGATTTATTGCATAAGATATTTTTCATTTTCTGAAATGCAGTCGCTTAACCTATTCTGCTTTTAATCTCTGTCACACATTTTCCATCTGATGATATGATTGTTCCCAGATATTTGAATTTATTGACTTGGTTAGGTCTTTTTTCTTCAACTGAGACATCACAATGTGGAGTTATCTTCTTCTTTGATATAACCATTACTTCTGTTTTCTTAATATTCAGCGAAAGTCATTTCTTAGAGAACTCTCCATCCCCACAATATCCAGCAGTTGTTGTAAATCAGTTGCATTTTCAGCTATCAAAACCTAGTTTATTTAGTTGAATAAATTTTCGGAGGAACTAGTTTATTTAGTTGAAGTAAAATTTGGAGGCAGTATTATATACAGCCATTACAAAAACTGGCATTGCATAAATATGGCACTCCTCAGGTGCAAATGTTGGTAGATCTGTTATCGTCAACCTGTAGTAGACTTGCTACAGTAGATGGTATAATTATCATATTAGACTGTTAGTATAAAGTGAAGGACCCTTTCCCTCATCATTAGGTATATTGAGGTTATAGCATGAACTATATTTTATAGACCATTCAGCACACTGTGGGAGATGTGGTCAGTGGTCAGAATCACATCAGCCACCCTTACCTCCTAGGACTTCACCTGGTATCCATTTTAGACATGGTCGACCTGGGAGACAGGGTAGTTTTTTTTGGGGAAAAAATCCTTTGCCGATTCCAACTTACAAGCAAGATGCTACAACACTGCAGCTTCCAGACTGCTACTGTAGAGATGTGAATATAGTTCTTGTGGGACAGTCATGAGCTAATGTAGAGATGTGAATATACTTCTTGTGGGACAGTCATGTGCTACTGTAGAGATGTGAATATAGTTCTTGTGGGACAGTCATGTGCTACTGTAGAGATGTGAATATACTTCTTGTGGGACAGTCATGTGCTACTGTAGAGATGTGAATATAGTTCTTGTGGGACAGTCATGTGCTACTGTAGAGATGTGAATATAGTTCTTGTGGGACAGTCGTGTGCTACTGTAGAGATGTGAATATAGTTCTTGTGGGACAGTCGTGTGCTACTGTAGAGATGTGAATATAGTTCTTGTGGGACAGTCGTGTGCTACTGTAGAGATGTGAATATAGTTCTTGTGGGACAGTCATGTGCTACTGTAGAGATGTGAATATAGTTCTTGTGGGACAGTCATGTGCTACTGTAGAGATGTGAATATACTTCTTGTGGGACAGTCATGTGCTACTGTAGAGATGTGAATATACTTCTTGTGGGACAGTCATGTGCTACTGTAGAGATGTGAATATACTTCTTGTGGGACAGTCATGTGCTAATGTAGAGATGTGAATATACTTCTTGTGGGACAGTCATGTGCTACTGTAGAGATGTGAATATACTTCTTGTGGGACAGTCATGTGCTAATGTTTAGACAATATAGGTTTGCGGGCAAAAGAAACGCTTTAAGGACACCTTGAAGTCTTCACTTAAAGTATTTGGGATGAATGACACCAATTGGGAGGCTGCCTCTCGAGACCGAAATGCATGGCGTGCAACTCTACTCAAGGGCGTAGAATGAGCATCAAGAAATGCCAATTGATAGCATTATATGCCTCAAGCATGGCTGGCATGAAACTGATTTTTTACTTTATATGTATAGAAACTGGAGAGGGACTAGATACCTTGTTTCTTCTCAGTGCACAGGTAGCTTAGGGGATCAGTTGTTCTAAGATTGTTTGCCCCATGTGTAATTGTGTGTCTGTATGACTATACCTTGCAGGTTATACACAGAAAGCAAGAAGGAAAAGGGCCACCCCCTGTGCTCAATAAACGACCTCAGGAGGAACCCAAGATCAAAGAGCCCAAGATTGTGGAAAAAGAGGAGAAGAAACACAAGGCAAAAGAGCCGAAAGAAAAAGGTCGTGTAGAAAGAGAGAAGGAAGAACGCGATACAAAAGACCGAAAGAGAGAGACAGAGAAGAAGAATTTTGTGAGAGAGTGGGACCGAGATAAAATTCAACAATTGTCGAGGTAAGGAAGCAGACATTTTGCCAGATTTTCATCGTTTTGTTTGCGGCGTTCACTGGCTGTAAACTGTGGCAGAAAATTCTGCTTGTTTGTCCACTTCTTAACTGAAGTCTTATTCCAGGACTTGAGTTTTGTATGCATATTTGTTTGATAGATCTGGCTTATTTGTGTTCAAATGTTGCCCACTTTCTGGCTAATGCCTTCCAATTTTAAAAGGGAACTCCCCATTAGTTCTTAAGGAGGGGGGGGGGGGGGGGGAGGGGGGGGGGGGGGGGGGGGGGGGGAATCCACACACGGCTGCCACAGATTTTGATTGCTATTTACCACAAAGCACACACTATTTTCGTTTACATTATTCTTTAAAAATTACAATGATATTGATGACCTCAGAGATCCGGCTTAAAAACAAGTGATACACACAGACAATTATCTGTTTCTTCTTTTTCACGTTCGGCAGCCTTTAACTGTTTTGACTTTTCATCCACTTCTGGTCTTGAGTCTTGTTCCAGAACCTGAGTTTTGTGTGCACAACTGTCTTACAGGTCTGGCCTTTTTGAATGCAGACTCTTGGTTCTTCCTCTCTCAGGCTGATGCACTCTGACTTTGAAGAAAACACCCCTAATTATGAACCCTTACAACATACTTTTTATTGGACAGTGGGGTTATTCTTCCCTTCCCGGGAAGAAAGTGATCTGTTTGTTTTATTGTGTACGGTATCTTGGTGCTCACAGGTATTTAACCATAACGGTAATGGATGGTTTGGCTCCTGACAAACAAGGCATGGGGTGACCCTCACGAGGGTGGACACATGATAACAAGAATGTCCTAGGTATGAAAGTTAGTTGGGGGTTGAGTTGCTTTCTTATGTGCCGGACGAGAGCAGTGTTCCGCAAGGGATCTGCTTTGTTGTGATAATATGGCACATTCATAGTTGTAAAAAAAATTCTTTTTTTTTTCACCCGAAGAATTGCCGATATGGCACGTTGGTGACAGAGATATGGGTAGTGACACAACCATGATCATACGTGTGCCCTGATGTATGTGTTACCTTAGTGACAGCGATATGGGTAATTGACACCACCTTGATCATAAGTATGCCCTGATGTATGTGTCACCTTAGTGACAGAGATATGGGTAATTGACACCGCCCTGATCCTAATTGTGCCCTGATGTATGTGTTACCGACATAAAACTCTGAGTTATTGGTATATTTATCTAAGATTAGACTGTTTTTCCTTGCAGATCTCGTTCCAAATCAAAAGACAGGGATCGGCCGGCCAGAAGATCAAGATCTAGGGAGAGAGAACAGCGTAAACGAGGAGAATACAAGGACAAGAGGGAGGAAGAGAGGAGAAAGGAGAAGAAACAGAAAGGTTCGAGATAGTTAAGATTTTCACAGATTTGAGAATTGTTCACAGAATTGTTTAAATGTCTGCCTTCCATACCATCTATCCCTGACTCATTAATTATGTAACATGCTTATTGAATTCATTGAGTGTGGAAGACGTTCTTCTTTGCATTCATCAGCTGTAAACTCTGGTGGAAAGTTCTGGTTGTTCATCCACTTCTGGACTACAGTCCTATTCCAGAACCTGAGTGTTGTGTGTGCATCTGTTTTACAGATCTGACTAATTTGTATGCAGACTGCTGGTTCCTTGCCTCTCAGGCAGATGCACTGACTTTGAAGGAAGCTCCCAGTTAGTCGACTCTTACGACATGCTTTTGGGTAGGCAGTGGATTTATTCTTGTTTTCCCTATAACAGGGTCCCAGTATCCACACGGGGATCATGGAAGATGTTAATATGACCATTGAATATAATGGCAGTTAATATTACACATTATTTGCATACATAATAAATTGCCTACTAAATACTATGCTGGGTGAGTGCACAGTGTTACCCTGTTCCATGATTGATGGGGGCAATAGTTTAATCCAAAGTACTACAGTCTCCATCTGGCATTAGTTGACAGTTATTGCAATCGACTAGCCTTTCCTCTTTTTTAATGAATTACAGTGTGCAGATAGTTTTGTTTTATATCTTTTGATCTGCCAGTAGATAGCCTTATTAGGAGGTTTCTCCTGAAAAAATATTTCTTTAAAAAAGAAAAAGAAACATTTTACAAAGGTAACCAAAAAAATTATATCGTAACAGTTCCATTTATATACCAAAATTTAAATGTCTACCAAATAAATGGGGTAATCAATAAACATGAATGCGGCAGAGAATTGACCGGGTTACATCTCTCTGACAAAAATGTTAGCTGCTAGCCACTAATGTGAATTCTTGTGTTCTAGTCTGTGAATAGAGCCATTCCCCCAAAAGAAACACCCACATAAATTTGCAACTATGCTCATTCCCAGTCGGTCTGAAAAGTTGTCAAGGAAAAACAAAAGCAGTTCTGTTATTGGTGCTCCTTGTTAACATGCCTCATAGCAAGTGGGGAAAGGGACATTACAAGGCCATGACACTTATTGGAAGCAAGCGATTTTGTGCTTCTCTGGCCGAAAGGGCTAACTGCTAGTATCGAGTCAGTCATTCAAGTATGTTCAAACACCAGCATGGAGACAGACAGACATGTGTGTGGAATCTGTTTGTGTAGAAGCCAAGGCTGAGAGGGTTAACTGCTAGTGTCGAGTCAGTGTGCGGCCTAGTATGTTTGAATACCAGCATGGAGACAGACTTAATGTGTGTGAAATCTGTTTGTGCAGAAGCCAAGGCAGAGAGGGTTAACTGCTAGTGTCGAGTCAGTCAGTGTGTCCAGTATGTTTGAATACCAGCATGTAGACAGACATAACGTGTGTGAAATCTGTGCAGAAGCCAAGGCAGAGAGGGTTAACTGCTAGTGTCGAGTCAGTGTGTGTCTAGTATGTTTGAATACCAGCATGTGGACAGACATAATGTGTGTGAAATCTGTTTGTGCAGAAGCCAAGGCTGAGAGGGTTAACTGCTAGTGTCGAGTCAGTGTGTCTAGTATGTTTGAATACCAGCATGTGGACAGACATAATGTGTGTGAAATCTGTTTGTGCAGAAGGCAAGGCTGAGAGGGTTAACTGCTAGTGTCGAGTCAGTCAGTGTGTCCAGGATGTTTGAATACCAGCATGTAGACAGACATAACGTGTGTGAAATCTGTGCAGAAGCCAAGGCAGAGAGGGTTAACTGCTAGTGTCGAGTCAGTGTGTGTCTAGTATGTTTGAATACCAGCATGTAGACAGACATAATGTGTGTGAAATCTGTTTGTGCAGAAGCCAAGGCAGAGAGGGTTAACTGCTAGTGTCGAGTCAGTGTGTGTCTAGTATGTTTGAATACCAGCATGTAGACAGACATAATGTGTGTGAAATCTGTTTGTGCAGAAGCCAAGGCAGAGAGGGTTAACTGCTAGTGTCGAGTCAGTCAGTGTGTCCAGGATGTTTGAATACCAACATGTAGACAGACATAAGGTGTGTGAAATCTGTGCAGAAGCCAAGGCAGAGAGGGTTAACTGCTAGTGTCGAGTCAGTGTGTGTCTAGTATGTTTGAATACCAGCATGTAGACAGACATAATGTGTGTGGAATCTGTTTGTGCAGATGCCAAGGCAGAGGAGGAGCCTCCAGCAAAGCTCCTGGATGATCTCTTCAGGAAGACAAAAGCCACACCCTGCATCTACTGGCTGCCTCTCACAGAAGAACAGGTAATGTTTACACCACACCTGATCTTTTGTTTTTGGTTATCCTGTCAGCATCTGTGGCTTGAGCGCATTGCCTGCGCACTTTGGAATTCTGTGGAAACGGGTTTGATCCCGGCTGCAGGTGATTTGGCGGAAGACCACCATGCTGTGGTATAGAGAGCGGACCTTTTAGAAAGCAGTGGCAAAATGCTGAACATGGAACTGCCTAGTGAAATCACAAACAGCCAGACAAGGCTGGGGTTGGTTCTGTAAAGGGATATACAACTAACTCTTGGGGAGGGGGGCTAGTTCTGTGGTTTTATAATATTGCATGTGTGCACTTCTGTATGTTGACAGCTCATGTATTTTGTACATGTTGCCTCTTGTGATCATTTATCAGGGTTCGTAGTGGACCGTGATTTCTTGAATTGACTGTGATTTTTTTTATAGGACCAGGAACAGTGATTTTAAGCATAAAAAAGACATTCTGACCTTGAGAAGCCGTGAATTTTGACCGCCCGCAATGAAATCTTTGAAAATCCTGCGATTTTCAGCAGTTAGAGGCAATTTTTGGGGGCCATTTGGCTAGATTTTGGCTACTTTCATTTACGGTTGTTTCAGGTGTGAGGGCAGCTGATTATCGGCTATTTTCAGCCGAAATGGCTTGTTAAAGGCCAGCTGTGTTGCAGCTCATGAATACATGCAGACAGCAGCGGCGTGGCATGGGGCGGGAAGGAGCAGCAGCCGTCTGGCCTGTGCGTGTGCCTTTGTTTCTAGGAGTCCGGCAGAATTAATAGTATAAATCGTTTTATGGCCGTGGTTTCTAGAAAGGATTACATTGGGAGATGGTGGGGCTCGGTTGGGTTGTATTTATAAATAGTCGGTCGTGGTGGGGGCTAAGCACGGCCTTCTCTATTAATTAGAGACAGACATTGGGGCTAAGCAAAGTGACGTCAGCTGGGTTTCCCAGTTTTATTTTTGGCCTGGTTTTATCTTTACAGTGTGTTTGGCGATCAGTATTGCAATTCCCCGAGATTCCCTCTTCTGTTGTTTCACCCCTCTCTCTCTTTCTCTCTCTCTTTCTCTCCCTCTTTCACTTTTCTACCTATTGCTCCTTCCTTCCCGTCTCCTGCATTGTCTCTAACCCTCCCTTTTGAATTTCATCTTCTTCTCTTGTATCTTTCCTTTTACTCTCTCATTTCCTGTATCCCCCCCCCCCCCCCCCCTTTTTTTTTCCTATTTTATTTCTTGTTTAAATGTTTAGTAAATGTGCCGCTTCTTAATTCTTTTCCTAGCAACTTTAGTACACAGGAAGTTGTATTATGTTGGGGGGGGGGGGGGGGGGGGGTCGTTTGTCCTACCTGTTCCTCACTCTCTGCCTGTCTCTCACTGCTCTCCTCTCTTTCTCTTTATATTTTCAGCTCTCCCTCACCCCCCCCCCCCCCCCACTCTCTCTCTTTTTCCGTACCTTCAGTTGGCGTAGAAGGTTATGGGTTGCCTAGTGCAGAACATTTCATGTCCACCACTCCCCCTCCCTCACACACACATTAAATATATGTGTACTTTTAAAAACACATTTGCCGTCCGTCCGTCCCCGCCCCCCCCCCCCCTTTTTCCTCCCACATTGATGACACCTAGGGGAGGGGGTGCACCCCTTCCTGCTACCTTCTTCCCTCTATATCTCATCTTATTTCTTACTCCCTTCTTTCTCTCCCTGTCTCAGTCCCCACTTTATTTTCTTAAACGTTATTCTCTCACCTCCTCTGTCTCACCCTTACCATCTCAGCCTTCTACACCACCTTCCACCACCTCCTCTCCCCCCTCCTTTCTGTAATTGGAAAACCAGAAATAAAACAAGTCCACTGATGCCCTGACCTATTTGTGTGTGTGTGGGTAACCTGCTCTATTTCCCACCAGTGGTGGGTTGGGATCCCCTGGACTTTTTTCTTCATAAAATGACCTTGGCTCTCAGGTCACCAGCCTTAAGTGAAATAAATTTAACTATTGTTGTCATACGCAGATAGGACAAGCACTGGGCAGTAGGGGTTAGCACTATTGTTTATGGACCACGGCCACATTCACATTGGGAGAGCGTAGGAACCGGAAAAATGGACTGACTTAGAGCTTTCATAATTATATTTTTGGCGCTCAGTCGCCACCCCCCCCCCCCTTCCCCATACACAAACACAACCGTGTCTTACCTCTCTTCTCTCACCCCTTCTCTTTCCTTTGATCTTCCACTATTCTCCTTTCTCTCTCTATTCTTCCTCTCTCTGTTCTCTCTTGCTCTTTCTCCTGTCTCATCTCTTCTTTGTCTCCTCTCCATCCTGTCTTTTCATTTTCTCTAGATTTCCTTACCCTCTCCCCTCTCTCATTCTCTCCCCCCCCCCCATTTTTTTCTGGTTCATCTACATATGTTTTTTGTGTGCCCCATAACTATCTTTTCCTAGTGGTTGTGTCCATTACACTTGAAATTGTGTCAGGGGAGTGGGTGGGGTTTCAGCATGAGGCTGTTTTTTTTTCTTCTTTGATGTATCTTGTCTCCCTTCCTGTCTCTCTCTCTTAATCTGTGTTTGTCACTGCCTTCCTTACCCACCTCTCTCTCTCTCTCTCTCTTGCTTTATGTGTGTTTGCCTCCCTTCATTCCCTCCCATTCTCCTGCTCTGCCTTTTTTCTCTTTCTTTGGTTCTCTCCCTCTGTCTGCTTGCCTCTCTATGCTGTCCCTTTGTATCTCTCTCCTTTATGTCTGCAATTCTTTCTGCTTGCAGCTGCTTCTCTCCCTGTCCGTTCTCTCTCCCTCTGTCTCCCTTCCTTCAACTCTCTTTGTCATATTTTCCTCCTTCCATATCTCTGTTTCGTTCCCTTCTTCCTTCTCTTTTCATCTGCCCATCTCTGTATCTGCATTCCCTCTTTGTGTATTTGTCTCCCTCTCTGTCTTTCGCTGTCCCTTCCCCACTTTCCCTCATGTCTCCATCCCTCCCTCTCGTTTTTTCCTCCTTCCCCAGACTTCTTTTCCTTCTTTCCTCTACCTTCATCTGTCCATCTTTACACTGTCTCTCCTAGTCTACCTCAGCATGTGTCTTCCTCCCTCCCTGCATGACTCTCTCTCTCTCTCCCCCCAATCCTTTCAGGTTCCAAGTCCATAACAGACAGGACTTCAGTTTGCTGCCCTCTACCACCAAGTCTAAAACAAAATTGTCAAACACTATATCAAGCGCAGGGGCCGACCAACACGAAGATGGGCACAGGATGTAAGTGACTCCTTGAGTATAAAAAAGTACATGAGACGGGAGAGGTGGTGAGAGACCGATTTTTATTTCAGGACAAAGGAAATGCTACATGATGATCATGATATATGTGCTGGTATACCAACACATGTGGCACGAATGAAGTACATTGTGTGCTCGGTACACCCTTGAACAAGGCAAAAATCTTGTTTCAGTATTACACCGAGACAACCTTGAAAAAAACTAAGGAAACCTTGAAAAGCCTTGAAATTGATTGGTAAATTTGGCTATGAACCCTGATTTATGTATGTGCTGCATTCATTCCTCATGAAAGTACTGTCAGATCTAGACCCTCTTGTGATAGTTATTGTATGTGCTCCATTCATTACTCATTTGTTTTACACTCTTGGCTTCAGGCTCAGGTGAGGATGGCAAAACGACTGGAAGAAGAGAAGGAAAGGCAGAAAAAAATTGCAGCAGCAGAAGAGCGAGAGAAGGAGGAATTAAGGAAGAGGGTATGTAGAGTTATCACCATCATGATCCCTTAACACAGCATACCACTAGGTCACCAGTTGCCGTTGACTGTCTGATCTCAATCTCTAAAGGCTGTAGACTGTCTGATCTCAATCTCTAAAGGCCGTTGACTGTCTGATCTCCACCTCTAAAGGCTGTAGACTGTCTGATCTCCACCACTGTAGGCTGTAGACTGTCTGATCTCCACCACTGTAGGCTGTAGACTGTCTGATCTCCACCACTGTAGGCTGTAGACTGTCTGATCTCCACCTCTTTAGGCTGTAGACTGTCTGATCTCCACCTCTTTAGGCTGTAGACTGTCTGATCTCCACCTCCGTAGGCTGTAGACTGTCTGATCTCCACCTCTTTAGGCTGTAGACTGTCTGATCTCCACCTCTGTAGGCTGTCTGATCTCCACCTCTTTAGGCTGTAGACTGTCTGATCTCCACCTCTGTAGGCTGTAGACTGTCTGATCTCCACCTCTGTAGGCTGTAGACTGTCTGATCTCCACCTCTGTAGGCTGTAGACTGTCTGATCTCCACCTCTGTAGGCTGTAGACTGTCTGATCTCCACCTCTTTAGGCTGTAGACTGTCTGATCTCCACCTCTTTAGGCTGTAGACTGTCTGATCTCCACCTCTTTAGGCTGTAGACTGTCTGATCTCCACCTCTTTAGGCTGTAGACTGATCTCCACCTCTGTAGGCTGTAGACTGATCTCCACCTCTTTAGGCTGTTGACTGTCTGATCTCCACCTCTGTAGGCTGTAGACTGTCTGATCTCCACCTCTGTAGGCTGTAGACTGTCTGATCTCCACCTCTGTAGGCTGAAGACTGTCTGATCTCCACCTCTGTAGGCTGTAGACTGTCTGATCTCCACCTCTTAGGCTGTAGACTGTCTGATCTCCACCTCTGTAGGCTGTAGACTGTCTGATCTCCACCTCTAAAGGCTGTAGACTGTCTGATCTCCACTTCTTTAGGCTGTTGACTGTCTGATCTCCACCTCTTTAGGCTGTAGACTGTCTGATCTCCACCTCTTTAGGCTGTAGACTGTCTGATCTCCACCTCTTTAGGCTGTAGACTGTCAGATCTCCACCACTGTAGGCTGTAGACTGTCAGATCTCCACCACTGTAGGCTGTAGACTGTCAGATCTCCACCTCTAAAGGCTGTAGACTGTCTGATCTCCACCTCTGTAGGCTGTAGACTGATCTCCACCTCTTTAGGCTGTAGATTGATCTCCACCTCTTTAGGCTGTAGACTGATCTCCACCTCTTTAGGCTGTAGACTGATCTCCACCTCTGTAGGCTGTTGACTCTCTGATCTCAACCTCTGTAGGCTGTAGACTGTCTGATCGCCACCTCTGTAGGCTGTAGACTGTCTGATCTCCACCTCTGTAGGCTGTAGACTGTCTGATCTCCACCTCTGTAGGCTGTAGACAGTCTAGTCTCAACCTCTGTAGGCTGTAGACTGTCTTATCTCCACCTCTGTAGGCTGTAGACTGTCTGATCTCCACCTCTTTAGGCTGTTGACTGTCTGATCTCCACCTCTTTAGGCTGTTGACTGTCTGATCTCCACCTCTGTAGGCTGTAGACTGTCTGATCTCCACCTCTAGGTTGTAGACTGTCTGATCTCCACCTCTGTAGGCTGTAGACTGTCTGATCTCCACCTCTTTAGGCTGTATACTGTCTGATCTCCACCTCTGTAGGCTGTAGACTGTCTGATCTCCACCTCTGTAGGTTGTAGACTGTCTGATCTCAACCTCTGTAGGCTGTTGACTGTCTGATCTCAACCTCTGTAGGTTGTTGACTGTCTGATCTCAACCTCTGTAGGCTGTTGACTGTCTGATCTCAACCTCTGTAGGCTGTTGACTGTCTGATCTCAACCTCTGTAGGTTGGTGACTGTCTAGTCTCCATCTCTGTCGATCAAATGCCACAATTGTGATGTTTAAAACCTGTCTACTTAGCCAAATTCTTCATCCAGGTCTTTCTTGGTCTGCCTCTTCTTCCTTTCCCCCTTCAGAGCCCCATAGTATCATTTTGGAGAGGCTGGTAGATTTGCTTACAATGGCTGTACTATTGCATTTTTCATCTTCTTGTGTTCAAGATTTTCCATCTTCTTGTGTTCAAGTAGTTTATATAAAATAAAAAAAAGTGGTTTCATATAAAGCAAAGGTTGTTAAAGGTTGTTAATGATTTAAAACATACGTTTCCTTTGATATATGGTGGTAAATGTCCCATAAACTAAGCTGACCATCTTTTTCTTCTTCTTCTCCTTTCCTGTACTAGACTCACCATCTCCTATATCTGCCTTTAATCATCCCAGGCAAATGTCTCTTGTACTAGACTCACCATCTCCTATTTCTGCCTTTAATCATGCTGGTCAAATGTCTCTTGTACTAGGGTCACCATCTCCTGCGACTGTAATGGTTGACTGAATGTTAAAGCTAGGTTTCCCTGCAAAATGTGGCTGGCCAGTTTGTCAGACCTTTTATAGTTGCGATTTATGACATAATTGGGCTGTTACAGTGTTACAATTTGTGACCTGATGGACCATGGCAACATGTGAGTGATATCCTGTATGACTTCCTACAAAAGTCCACATTATCTAGCTGCTCTCAAGACATGAACGTTTATCATCTCTGACACAAGTCCAGGTCCTGGCTGTACCTTAAAGCTTGTCAACTTGCAACAGAAGTGGGGACCGATACTCAGCTACTGAGTTGAGTGAGTGAGTGCATGGCACCACACAATTGAGTGAGTGCATGGCACCACACTGTCAGTAATTAAATGCATGTCAGTTAAGTGAGTGAGTGGCGCCACACTGTTATTGTGGATTTCAGTTTGTAATAGCTACAAGGCAGGCAATTAGGAAATGTTGTGGAAGCTTTGCAACCCAACCCTCGGGGCTGAAATACTTGATTGATTATGATAAACTATTTGACTATTGAGAAATTTGCTAGACATGATCTGTCTCCACCCATTGTTTACTAGTGTGCTGATAGCTGGATGATGATGATGTTCAATGTAAACATTTCTTGGTTTAATTCTGTTTTTCCTCTAGGAAACTGCAAGATTAGAACGCCAGCGTGAGAGAGAGAAGGCAAGAGAGAAGGACAGAGACCGAGACAGAAGCAAACCAGAAAGAAAGGCCAGCAGAAGCTCCAGCAGAAGTAGGTCACGCAGAAGAAGGTAAAACTGACAAGGCCTTGAACTTGTGATTTCTGCTAGCTCCTTCAAGATTGTTTGCTTGGTTGATTTGACACAAGATTGTTTGCTTGGTTGATTTGACACAAGATTGTTTGCTTGATTGATTTGACAATGCTTTCTGCAAACTTGCAGCTGGTCAGGGAGTTTTTGATTTGCAAATGTTTTTTTTTTTTTAGGAAGTGTTTGCCGCAGGTGGTGTCTGTAAGTGTGTATATGCTTAATCTTTTAATATTTTCTGTTTCATGTGTGTGTGTGTGTGTGTGTGCTGTTTCTGTATGTTGTTTTAAATATAGATAAGAATGGTTGCCTTTGGAAGTTGGCTAGACTATTGCCATTATCAGGTTGGTTTTTAATTGTTTATGAAATATATATATATATATCTGATATTTACTGGGATAGCATGACAGATGAGTCAGATAAATGATGCAGATACAGCGAGTGGTTGGTGTTTGCAATAAAATGGCAGGCTAATACAGCAGTGTGCACTTTAGTAATAAACGACGGTTGTAAATATGTTTTGTTGTCTTTTTATTTTGAGATGCAAGATTTGTGAAAACATGTAAAGTTGACAGTCATCATATCCACCTCTTGTGTTTCTGACCAGTAAAACATGCACTGGTCAAATGTCTGACCCTATATGCCTATCCCAGATTCTTCAGAACATGTTTTTAGTCTGCATGTGCTTATCTCTTAAATAAATGTTTGATTAATTGAGGATTTACAAAAATCTTATGTGTTGGACATAAATCCCAGTCAGTCTGTAAATCATGACACAGTAAACTGCCAGGAGTGAATATAAAGAAGAAGGAGAACAACGTTAACTAGAACAGATATACATAACACAATCACACAGCATCAGAAGCCAGTTGTACTCAACAAGATCAGATAATTTGCAGAATAAGTGTATTGTTGAGGTAAAAAACCATCTAATATAGTTTTTTTTTTCACAATGGGCATGTACTAAATATTTATATAAAATTAACTATTTTGTTCATGTATAAAAAATTCATTCCTAATTACAATAAAAATGCATATAAGCACCACTGACGGATATATTTAAAAAAACACACACACACATAAATATATATTCTTATTATGCAGTTACATGTGTATCCAAATGAGGACAGACAGCAGAATATGTAATATCATCAAGTTGAAGGAAAACTGTTGGAAATGTTTTCATGACAAGTGCACAAGAACAGCAGAACATTCTCTAGCCCACCTCAGGGAGTGGAGTGAGTGAGGGAGGGAGTTGAGTGAGGGAGGGAGTTGAGTGAGGGAGGGAGTTAAGTGAGTGAGGGAGTTAGTTAAGTGAGTGAGTGAGTGAGAGAAAATCAATCTGCCAGTTTGATAGAAAAAAGATTGCCTATTTGAGTGAGGGGAAAAGGACTGTTTAGTCATATCTTTCCTCTACTACCTGTAGAGCAGGTATCTCTGGGTCTTTATTTTTGAGCCAGTCTCTCCCTTTACACACACAATTTCTTGATATGTTTTTGTTAAAACAAAATGAGACACCTCTGATCAAACCTAACACAGTGCAGCTCCCAGGGGATTGAACTGCCCTCACAGTTTCAACCCCAACATCCCATTTAGGTTTTTTTTTTATCCCCCCCCCCCCCCCCCCAATACATGTGTGGTCATTCTGCTGAGTAACCACCGACCCGGCTGCATCGAGACACCAGCTAAGTGATTTTGTGTATCTATGCAGTATTGTTTAATTTGTATGTGCTAATGAAGGCTCAATAGCCGCAACATTCACGTTTTGTTTGTATTTGTTATATTGTGAAGCTTGCTAATATACTTTTCATTCAGTTTTATATCTTTTCTTACACAGTGCAGACCACTTCATGCCATCTGGGATGTGATGACTTTCTGTTCTGTTTACCCCGACAGTGTTTTTTTTTTGTTTGTTTGCTTGAACTCGTATCTGGATAAGAGAAATTTCTGATAAGAAGAAACATTTCCACAGAAAATTATCAACTTAGTAAAGGCAACATTTAAAGACATGAAATGTCGAGTTCTTCATGAGGGAAAGCTAACAGATGCATTTGAAATAAAAACAGGTGTGCGACAGGGATGTCTTTTGTCACCTCTCTTATTTTTACTGGCTATAGACTGGACAATGAAAGCAGTGACTGCTGACACCAAGAATGGAATTCAGTGGACCCCTGCGGGGCGGCTTGATGATCTGGACTTCGCTGATGATATTGCTCTTCTGTCCCATTCGCGGAATCAGATACAAGATGGTTTGGATGTGCTTGATTCGAGATCACAGCGGCTTGGTCTGAAAATCCATAAAGGAAAGACAAAGATAATGAGAATAAATTAGGCAAATAGTAATGTGGTTTCTCTTAATGGCACCCCACTCCAAGACGTGGAGTCGTGCGCCTATTTGGGCAGTGATGTGGATGGAGATAGAGGAACTGATGGAGATATTGAGGTTAGAGTACAGGGGGCAGGAGGGGCTTTCGTAGCACTAGGGAGTTTGTGGAGGTCGGGGGAAATTGAAGGAAATGCTGGACTAGGAATTTTTAATTCTAATGTCAAGTCGGTACTATTGTATGGGGGGAGGCGTGGAGAACGGCCGGGGCAATTGCTGATGAATTACAGACATCCATTAACTGGTGCCTGCGCAGAATAGAGGGGATAAAATGGTATGATAGAATAACTAATGTAGAACTTTGGGAGAGAGCTAAACAGGCTCCAGTGGATCAGGAGGTGAGGAGAGGACGCTGGCGTTGGATGGGGCATGCGCTGAGAAAGCGGGAGAACAGCATAACTAGAATGTCTTTGCATTGGAACCCACAGGGGCATAAGAATAAAGGAAGGCCAAAAAACACATGGAGAAGAGAGCTGGAGAATGAGGTTAGAAAGATTGGGAGGACATGGGGAGAGCTCCATGCAATGGCGAAGCATAGAACGACTTGGCGTGAGTTGGTTGAGGGCCTATGCTCCATTGGGGGATAGAAAGGCAGAAGAAGAAGAAGTGATTTTTTTTTTCTTGTTAGGTTCTCCTTTTAAGATCTGCACTGTACTTAAGGCTAGTGTGTTGAACCCAATAAGAACTGTTTCTGTGCTACCAGTGCCAAACATGGACCCTTACTACAATTAATGAGCACAACATTCATAACATTGAGATGTCTAGGAAGAGCTGTCGGAGGAACAAAGAAGAGATGAAATTAGAAGACTGACTGAAACCAGTCATTCAATTCATTAAGGACCAACAGATGAGTTGGTTTGGCCATCTGACGAGAATGCCCTGGAAAAACTGCCACAAAGAGCCATGCTGAAGAAAAACGATGAACACACAGCAGGAGGAAGATCATACAAACAATGGAACAACAGAATCAAGAATAACCTTAACCCTGTAGCCCTAAAAAGACAAAATGTAATGAATTCTGGTTGTCTCATAGGCAATGTATGGGCATTTCTACTGACCTGTTCTCAAAAAGCCTAGTTAAATCACGCTGGTGTTATGTGCACCTGTACAGTGTTTGGGCCCAGATCTCAATATATTAACTAAAACTAATTGGGGCTTTTTGAAGCCATGTTGACACCAAATGTTCCCAGACACCTCAGTGATAGAGGTCAGGGCATGGGAAGAAGAAGCAAGTATTAAAGCTACTACTTATCTCGTGTGTGTCAGGTCAGTAATAATTGTACATAAAAAAAAAGTAAAGGATCCTTATCCATGCCTCTGGGCATATAGGGCTAGACCTATATTTTTATAGACCAATCGGCACAAGATGGGTGATGTGGTCAGCATCTCGCCGGCCACCTTTACTTCCCAGAACTGCACCCGGTACCCACTCAAGGCTGGGTCGACCTGGGAGCCAAGGTCATTTTTGAAAATCCGGCTCTGCCAGACCCACGACCTTCCGATCCGCGGTGAGCGTCTAGCCGCTCTGCCACGGTGACCCCCGTACATTTGTTAAGTAATGATAAATCTTGTTTCATGCAATTTGTTTTCTCTTTTACCTCTTACTAAAGTATAAACTGTTTTTCTTTCCTCCTGACCATGAGAAACCTTTGCTGTTGTTTACTGACAGTCAGAAAACAATGGCAAACTACTGAATGTAAAATTTGCTTAAAAAAATGAAACAGCTTGAAAAAAAACCGCTGCGGCTGGTTCTAGAACATCCTGCGAAGACACTGACTTACTTTATTACTGACAGCCACGGGCAGCAAAATGACAGCATGGAGTTATGATTTTAAAAAGTAATTTGTCACCCCAAATAATCTAGTTTTTTTTCTAAGCTAACATATTCCTGTCCAACATATGTATATACTCTGCAGCTGTAACCAGTACCAAAGCTGTTAGGTGGGCATAATGGCCACTGACTGGTCATCAAAAACCGGTAAATGTCACAAAACCAGCTTGTGCTGGTGTAGGGTTACAGAAATGAATATTAACATATACAGTGCAGTACAGATTGTTCAGTTGACTTACAGACACAATGGAACATACTCTGTATGTCAGAGACATGGAACATACTCTGTATGTCAGAGACATGGAACATACTCTGTATGTCAGAGACATGGAACATACTCTATATGTTAGAGACATGGAACATACTCTGTATGTTAGAGACATGGAACATACTCTGTATGTTAGAGACATGGAACATACTCTGTATGTTAGAGACATGGAACATACTCTGTATGTTAGAGACATGGGTCAAAACTGTTTGCAGTCATCGGACAAGTGCAGGATCTCTTCATGTTCCATTTCTTGCTTGAGTGCGTCAGTGATGTGTACGTGGTCCTTGAGCTTTCTTGTGCCGCAGAGTAAAATGTTTTTTATTCGTTTGTTCTCCGTTGTTGCTACCTGCCACATGGTGTCCAGTTCTTTTTCCACATCTCTGTTTCAAAACAGAAAAAGCTGCTTAAAATCACTGCAATCAAGTTTTCAACTGTAACTGAATATAAGAACTAATAATTGACTGGTGATAAAACATACTACCAGGTTTCTTCAACAACTGAATCTAAGAACTAACAATTGACTGGTGATAAAACACACTACCAGGTTTCTTCAACAGCTGAATATAAAAACTAATAACTGACTGGTGATAAAACAATTACAAGGTTTCTTCAACTACTGAATCTAAGAACTAATAACTGACTGGTGATAAAATACACTACCAGGTTTCTTCAACTACTGAATCTAAGAACTAATAATTGACTGGTGATAAAACAATTACAAGGTTTCTTCAACTACTGAATCTAAGAACTAATAATTGACTGGTGATAAAATACACTACCAGGTTTCTTCAACTACTGAATCTAAGAACTAATAATTGACTGGTGATAAAACACACTACCAGGTTTCTTCAACAAAAGATGATGTACATCACAGTTCCTCATCAACCACTAGATCCTTTGCAGAACATCACTCTTGTCATGGCACACTTGAAAGTCTCTCTCTCTCTCTGTCCCTCTCTCTCCCTCCCTCCCTCCCTCTCTCTCTGTGTAGCCATCTCTCCAGCCCTATGTGCTTTCATAGTCACTGCATCTTCAATGCCCTATACCCAGCTGTGCAGATGTCTGTCTCTGTAAACTACCCTCCATCTCCATTCTCTCAGAGCCACCATAACATTTAATGAACATAAACAAAATGGCTCAACTTTCAGGACAGGATGCCAATTCTCTTGATGCTCAGATTATGTAGGATGATGTTTACCAGTCAGTTCTCTTCATGCTCAGATTATGTAGGATGCTGTTTACCAGCCAGCTCTCTTCATGCTCAGATTATGTAGGATGATGTTTACCAGCCAGTTCTCTTCATGCTCAGATTATGTAGGATGATGTTTACCAGCCAGTTCTCTTGATGCTCAGATTATGTAGGATGATGTTTAGGAGCCAATTCTCTTGATGCTCAGATTATGTAGGATGATGTTTAGGAGCCAATTCTCTTGATGCTCAGATTATGTAGGATGATGTTTAGGAGCCAATTCTCTTGATGCTCAGATTATGTAGGATGATGTTTAGGAGCCAATTCTCTTCATGCTCAGATTATGTAGGATGATGTTTAGGAGCCAATTCTCTTGATGCTCAGATTATGTAGGATGATGTTTACCAGTCAGTTCTCTTCATGCTCAGATTATGTAGGATGATGTTTAGGAGCCAATTCTCTTCATGCTCAGATTATGTAGGATGATGTTTAGGAGCCAATTCTCTTGATGCTCAGATTATGTAGGATGATGTTTAGGAGCCAATTCTCTTGATGCTCAGATTATGTAGGATGATGTTTAGGAGCCAATTCTCTTGATGCTCAGATTATGTAGGATGATGTTTAGGAGCCAATTCTCTTGATGCTCAGATTATGTAGGATGATGTTTAGGAGCCAGTTCTCTTCATGCTCAGATTATGTAGGATGATGTTTAGGAGCCAATTCTCTTGATGCTCAGATTATGTAGGATGATGTTTAGGAGCCAATTCTCTTGATGCTCAGATTATGTAGGATGATGTTTAGGAGCCAATTCTCTTGATGCTCAGATTATGTAGGATGATGTTTAGGAGCCAATTCTCTTGATGCTCAGATTATGTAGGATGATGTTTAGGAGCCAATTCTCTTGATGCTCAGATTATGTAGGATGATGTTTAGGAGCCAATTCTCTTGATGCTCAGATTATGTAGGATGATGCTTAGGAGCCAATTCTCTTCATGCTCAGATTATGTAGGATGATGTTTACCAGTCAGTTCTCTTCATGCTCAGATTATGTAGGATGATGTTTACCAGCCAGTTCTCTTCATGCTCAGATTATGTAGGATGATGTTTACCAGCCAATTCTCTTCATGCTCAGATTATGTAGGATGATGTTTACCAGCCAGTTCTCTTGATGCTCAGATTATGTAGGATGATGTTTAGGAGCCAATTCTCTTGATGCTCAGATTATGTAGGATGATGTTTAGGAGCCAATTCTCTTGATGCTCAGATTATGTAGGATGATGTTTAGGAGCCAATTCTCTTGATGCTCAGATTATGTAGGATGATGTTTAGGAGCCAATTCTCTTCATGCTCAGATTATGTAGGATGATGTTTTAGGAGCCAATTCTCTTGATGCTCAGATTATGTAGGATGATGTTTTACCAGTCAGTTCTCTTCATGCTCAGATTATGTAGGATGATGTTTAGGAGCCAATTCTCTTCATGCTCAGATTATGTAGGATGATGTTTAGGAGCCCAATTCTCTTGATGCTCAGATTATGTAGGATGATGTTTAGGAGCCAATTCTCTTGATGCTCAGATTATGTAGGATGATGTTTAGGAGCCAATTCTCTTGATGCTCAGATTATGTAGGATGATGTTTAGGAGCCAATTCTCTTGATGCTCAGATTATGTAGGATGATGTTTAGGAGCCAGTTCTCTTCATGCTCAGATTATGTAGGATGATGTTTAGGAGCCAATTCTCTTGATGCTCAGATTATGTAGGATGATGTTTAGGAGCCAATTCTCTTGATGCTCAGATTATGTAGGATGATGTTTAGGAGCCAATTCTCTTGATGCTCAGATTATGTAGGATGATGTTTAGGAGCCAATTCTCTTGATGCTCAGATTATGTAGGATGATGTTTAGGAGCCAATTCTCTTCATGCTCAGATTATGTAGGATGATGTTTACCAGTCAGTTCTCTTCATGCTCAGATTATGTAGGATGATGTTTACCAGTCAGTTCTCTTCATGCTCAGATTATGTAGGATGATGTTTACCAGCCAGTTCTCTTCATGCTCAGATTATGTAGGATGATGTTTAGGAGCCAGTTCTCTTCATGCTCAGATTATGTAGGATGATGTTTAGGAGCCAGTTCTCTTCATGCTCAGATTATGTAGGATGATGTTTAGGAGCCAATTCTCTTGATGCTCAGATTATGTAGGATGATGTTTAGGAGCCAATTCTCTTGATGCTCAGATTATGTAGGATGATGTTTAGGAGCCAATTCTCTTGATGCTCAGATTATGTAGGATGATGTTTAGGAGCCAATTCTCTTGATGCTCAGATTATGTAGGATGATGTTTAGGAGCCAATTCTCTTGATGCTCAGATTATGTAGGATGATGTTTAGGAGCCAATTCTCTTCATGCTCAGATTATGTAGGATGATGTTTAGGAGCCAATTCTCTTCATGCTCAGATTATGTAGGATGATGTTTACCAGTCAGTTCTCTTCATGCTCAGATTATGTAGGATGATGTTTACCAGTCAGTTCTCTTCATGCTCAGATTATGTAGGATGATGTTTACCAGTCAGTTCTCTTCATGCTCAGATTATGTAGGATGATGTTTAGGAGCCAGTTCTCTTCATGCTCAGATTATGTAGGATGATGTTTAGGAGCCAGTTCTCTTCATGCTCAGATTATGTAGGATGATGTTTAGGAGCCAATTCTCTTGATGCTCAGATTATGTAGGATGATGTTTAGGAGCCAATTCTCTTGATGCTCAGATTATGTAGGATGATGTTTAGGAGCCAATTCTCTTGATGCTCAGATTATGTAGGATGATGTTTAGGAGCCAATTCTCTTGATGCTCAGATTATGTAGGATGATGTTTAGGAACCAATTCTCTTGATGCTCAGATTATGTAGGATGATGTTTAGGAGCCAATTCTCTTGATGCTCAGATTATGTAGGATGATGTTTAGGAGCCAATTCTCTTCATGCTCAGATTATGTAGGATGATGTTTACCAGTCAGTTCTCTTCATGCTCAGATTATGTAGAATGATGTTTACCAGCCAATTCTCTTCATGCTCAGATTATGTAGGATGATGTTTACCAGCCAGTTCTCTTGATGCTCAGATTATGTAGGATGATGTTTAGGAGCCAATTCTCTTGATGCTCAGATTATGTAGGATGATGTTTAGGAGCCAATTCTCTTCATGCTCAGATTATGTAGGATGATGTTTAGGAGCCAATTCTCTTGATGCTCAGATTATGTAGGATGATGTTTAGGAGCCAATTCTCTTGATGCTCAGATTATGTAGGATGATGTTTAGGAGCCAATTCTCTTGATGCTCAGATTATGTAGGATGATGTTTAGGAGCCAATTCTCTTGATGCTCAGATTATGTAGGATGATGTTTAGGAGCCAATTCTCTTGATGCTCAGATTATGTAGGATGATGTGTTTTTTTCTCCCTTTTCTGGGTACATGGTATTGTAAAAATCTGTCTGTAGCCTTTTCAGGAGTGATGAGCAGTTAGTGTATAAATGTGCACTGTTGTCAGGTGGGAGTCGGGGTGGCACAGTAGGTAGATGCTTGCCTACAAGCCAAGTCTTGGGTTCAAACCTGCACGAGGACAGGATTTTATAACTGACCTTGTCTCCAAGATTGACCCAGTATAACTAATATGGGTACCAGGAATAAAGGTGGCCGGCATGTTAACCACAAGAGCCATCGATGATGGGTACACACACATGAAAGTACTCAAGCTGATTTTCTGATCTGTGCTTAAAAAAAAACCCCCAGAAAGACAAGAGATACTCACTTTTTATCCGTGTGCAGCGACTCTATTATCTCTTCCTTTTCCTTGAGCAGTGACCTCAGGTGTTGAATCTCCCTTTCATATTCCTTCCGTTGACTGTTGAAAGCCTCATCTTGCTCTCGCAACCTGTCAATAAACACTTACATGTTTATAAGGCAAAACAGTTCCATAATGGTTACTGCACTATGGATCATATGTTGAATAAGGAATTGACATCATAGCACTCCCATTAGCGCTGCGTCCTCATCTTCAGCAGCAAGCAAAGAGTTCCAATTCCGCAGTAACTCTGATTATACATCTGTCTGTCTCACCCTACCCTTGAGTGTTGGCCAGACCCCCTGGTAACTCCTTGCAGCACCATTCTCTTCAGACCTTTTGTTGTGAGGTTTCTTTGGGAGCAGGTGAACAGTGCAGAAGCACAAATAGACCATTACTAGGTCACAGGAGGTTGAGAGTCCTCCTTGCAGGGGAAGGGCACCTTTTTGATGGGGAAACAAGTAGACCCCTACCTCTAAGAATGCATGCTGGAAAAGGTGACCAGTTGATGGTTTGCTGAATTCTGAGGGGTTAGGCCATAACGCACAGATACTGTATCAACATCTTCACAAGCTTAGGCTGCCATGTTTCACCATCTCACGCAATCACCAGAATCACAGATCAGGTCAATGTGTTTGTCTCATCACATCCGTCTGGCATGGCTATCCGGGTATTTATCTCTTTGCCTTGCTCTTGCTCTCTTTCCGTCAATCTTACCAGTTGTTACAAAGTTCTCAAATCCATTTCTTCTCCTAACACCCAAAGATGTCTGTCTACGTCTGATTGTTCTAACAGGTTTACGACTTTCATCTGCCTCAATGAAGATTGCTCTTTTGTTTTTCTATCCTTCCATTAAATTCTTTGCATTCTTCTCAGAAACCACATCTCTACCATGATGGTTTTCAGCGTCTCTGCTTTATTACAGATACTGCGGCCTAGCTGTAAACCACAAGACAACAGGCCAACTGCCCTTCTGAGGACTAGGAAAGAAGAAATGAGGTTAAGCAACCAGCTCTTTTCCATCAACTTTTCCTGTCTAGAAACATTCTGTGTCCATTCTAGAAGGACGGATTAATCTCAACAATTACCCTAGGGCAATGAGTTGAAAAAACAATGAAATACTGAACATTTCTTGACCTAATATGATCAACATATTTCTTGACCTAATATGATCAACAATCCGAATCCCAGGCAGTCTGTATTGTACTATGCTGAATCATGGGCCTGGTTATATCTGAATACCTGCTTTGCAGATGTGAAGTTTCAGTATCTGCCTTCCACCCTTTACTGCATTTGAAGGTTGCAGAAGTTTGGATCGAAGCTAAATTATGGAGTGACTGAGAGCATGTCCCACTCAAACTTAGCAGACCTGATTCTATTCCTGGTGCAGATAGCACATTATTTTACACAGTGAAACAAGGACGGTATGCTTCCCCCTTGATCCCAGGGTAGCATATCAGACATGCAGCCTTCTTGGAGAAGGGACAGAACATGACATTTTAAACATCAACAGTGAAAGGTCTTTTTTAGGTTATCAGCGGCGCATGGAGCATGTGTTGAACTCAATATTTATATCGAACCAATTGATGGGTAATGTGTTCAACATCATGCTGGCCACATTGACTTCCCAGGACATTTCTTGGTGTACATTACTTGTGCTGGATTGATCCGGGAACATACACAACAATGGTATCAAAATCACTTTTATACTGTATGTAAATTAACTATATCTCTATGAGAAGATATACAATTAATTAACATCAGTTATTTAGCTTGGGTCTTTGAAAAAAAAAGAAACCAAATTACCAAACACGATTTCATTACCTGACGATCTTTCTATAAACTATTACTGAATCTTAACCTACCTTTCTGGCATCATCCGGTAAACAGTCCCACAAAAATTAATAAACATTAATTAGCCTTTTGAGTTCTTTTCATAAATAGTCGCACAATTATTAAACACTATGTTCCTTATGTGGATTTTGGGACTCCATTGTGGGGGAAACTTGAAGCGACCCACTGTCTTCCAAACAATGTTGTAGGAGTCGAATAACTGGGGACATCCTTCTAAGTTGGAGCACATCTGCCTGAGAGGCAAGGAACCAAGATGTGTGAAACAGATGTGCACCAACATTTATATTCTGGAATAAGACTAAAGTCTGGAGGTGGACGAACACCCAGAACTTTACGCTGGAGTTTACAGCCCATGAAGAGTAAATAAGAAGAAACACTATTTCACCATTATCCAGTATTTATATATTCACACAGTGTCAAACATGAATACCAACAGAATTAATTGGTATTTATGCTATATTCATATAAATATGGTCATGTATGATGTGCGATAAAGATGATCACAATAATGAACAATAAAAACAAATACACCTCTCTGGGATCCCTCCATGATGACCTTACATCGACTCACCTCTCAGCGATTGTGTTTAACTTGGCTGAAGCTTTCATCTGATATAACTGTGGATTCAAAGAGAATGAATTACCCGCAATGAGGATACAAACAGCTGATTGCACAATTTAGTGTCTGACACTTTTATAGTATCTCAACAAGTGCATTACTACAGAGTTGACGTCCAAATAATGAAGGACAAAATATGATTCCTTAAACTTGTGATTCCTTGTTACATTGTACTCACAAATCATTTATGTCTTCTCCTCTGCATTCACTGTAATCTTCGGCAGAAAGTTCTAGCTGTTCGCCCACCTCTGGACTCGTGCATTTATGGGAAACACATAGACAGACAAACTATATGTCACTAATGCATACATTTAAAACACAGACAAACTGTTCATCACAAATGAATATATGTAAAACATACAAAATGTCTGCCACTAGTGTTCCAGTACTTAAGGTTTGCGTGCCCATATGTTTTACAGACTGTTGGTTCCTTGTCTCTCAGGCAGATGCACTCCGACTTTGAAAGAAATCCCTAATAAGTTGATTCTTGCAACATGCTTGTTAGGGAGGCTGTGGGACTATTCTTGTTTTTCCCCACAATGGAATCCACACAGGGAAAATCATGGACAGTGATTTTCACCAGATTGATACAAAAACTATTATATAATATGGGGAAACCTGATTGCAGTGAAATTAAAACCTTAACTAAAACTAAAAAGAGTATCGATTTTAGCAGCATTTCCCAACTAGGTAAAATGGCTCAATTACTTGGGGGGGGGGGGGGGGGGGGGGGGGGGGGGGGGGGGGGGGGGGGGGGGGGGGGAGGCATCAATGAGTCTATTTTTATTTTCTCCACAATGGGGCCCTGAGAAACACACAGGGTCAATGTGGTACTTGAAAGAATATCTCCTAAACTCTCTGAGGCCCGAGCAATCCTGTGTGATGATTGAGAAGTTCCAATGTGCCCAAACAACACTGCGTCAATCATGTGTCCCACACATACTGATTCATTTTAAATGTTCGGAACTACCATTAAAGTATTCAGGGAGAGGAACATTTTTCTTTGTAACCGAGTCTATGATCCCACACACATGGCGCAAACTGTTCTGATTCATTGCTAGCTTGATTTTCAGAAAATGCATTTTCCAATTTCATGTCTAAGTGGCCATGACTACCACTGTTCCAAATACAAGCACATGCCCAAAAATGGTAAAATGCTGTCCTTGTAAACGTAACATCTTCTGAATTATTTTTTCCTACTAACTATAACAGTATGAAACAAAAACATATCAAAAGATTCAAAATATGCGTTCATTCCTCTTTAAAAAAATAATATATATTTTTATATGAATGAGAAATATATTACATTCTCAATTGCTTTTTTTTTCTCCATCACCCCTCTGCCATTTTTGTAAAGGGAAATTAATGTGAACCAAGCCTGTCAACATTTGTAGGCCTGAAAGAATTAAAGATTCATAAAAATGTGCAGTGTCTGACCATATTACCAACACTGTAGATTCAGTGTAACAGAGATAGTGAATTACAATCACTGTTAGTGAAATCTGTAGGTGCATGGTCTACAGCTGGGCTATTCAACTGAGTTTACTCAGGGGGAAACATTTTGAAAAGGGCTAGAGCCCCAGTACAGACAGATCATTCATACAATACAACTGGCAATAATCTGGTGTACAGTAATACAGTAACATGAAGGCTTGACACTGATGGTATCCCCAGCCTCACCTTCAGCTTGAGCTGCAGTTTTCCTGTGGCGGCACTGCCCTGTATCATTCTGTTCATCGTCTGCTTGCTCTCCTCCTGCTGCTCTCTAGCCTGGGGAGATTCAAAAATGAGATTATTGTGACAAGTGATGGATTCTGATCTGTTACTGCCTGCGACATTGCCTCCACACTGTTTATTTCTGTCTAATTCTATTTTCCATGCATTTGTAGGTCTCCCTCTATATCACCTGACCTATGGATTTCAAGCACATTCTGGCTATATTATTTACCTTTTTGTCCTATAAGGACAAAAGGGGTCAGGAACAGTAGGAATGTTGAGCAAAAATACTAAAGAAAAATTTTATACAGGTCATTAATAATTTTATTTTAAAAGTAATTTTTGTCTACACATTTTCCTTTACATTATTTAAGAGGGAAATCAATCAACACAAATACACTGAAGCAATGTAACCCAATGTATTAGCTGACTCATGCCACGACTCTGTGACCTCTACCACTGAAGCAATGTAACCCAATGTATTAGCTGACTCATGCCACGACTCTGTGACCTCTACCACTGAAGCAATGTAACCCAATGTATTAGCTGACTCATGCCACGACTCTGTGACCTCTACCACTGAAGCAATGTAACCCAATGTATTAGCTGACTCATGCCACGACCCTGTGACCTCTACCACTGAAGCAATGTAACCCAATGTATCAGCGGACTCATGCAACGACCCTGTGACCTCTACCACTGAAGCAATGTAACCCAATGTATCAGCTGACTCATGCCCCGACCCTGTGACCTCTACCACTGAAGCTACACCCCTGTGTGGGTTCCAGAAAACACATGTGCACACAAGGGGCAGGTTCTGGACCAAGACTAAAGTGCAGAAGTGGATGAACAACCAGAACTTTCCACCAGAGTTTACAGTAAACACGAAGAAGACTCAAGCTACAGGAAAATATGGCACCAACAGGACTTTAAAAGTATTTGGTTCACAAGACCACCCCCAATGCAATTTTAGTAAAAATATTCAGATCCAGACTGCCTATATGACGCACAGGCACAAACACAACAAATGGCATTAACTATGTGTCTTGGAAACACACAACTAGAAGTGTAGATTCTGTAGCTTCTTGGTGTGGCCAGCTTAACAGGTTTTCTCACTGTGTGTCCCATCCAGTGTCGCAAAATTTTTTTTTTTTAAACCAACTACTTTTTCTGGGTTCACTTTAAGAAGGACGGTTGGTGTGATGTTGTGATTTACAGCTAGGCTGCTATAACTGCAGTTTTTGACCTGACACATCTGAGTTCAACAAACCCCTCATTGCTTGTCATGACATGCTTATTGATGGGGGAGAGGGGGGTTGGAGCAGCAGGATAACAAAAACATGGATCTCATCACCACCAACCTCCCCCCCCCCCCCCTCACCCCCTTTCCAAAGAATTGTTGGAAACTGTTATCTTCGTAAGTTCCACAATAAAGACTGTAGCAGTGACCAGAAGAGATACAATCAGGAATGAGGTCATACAAGATAAAGTCGGCACAGAACCAGTTCTAAATTACATACAAAGACAGCAAATCAAATGGTTTTCCCATTTGGAGAGAATGCTTTCTGATGCTATACCATTCAAGGCATAATTCAAAAGAGGAGAGGTATGTACAGCAAGTGGCAGACCAAGAACAATATGGGAGGATAACCTCAGAGAAACTCTACAGCACCACAATGTGCAACTAGAAAAGCACGAAGCAGGACCTTATATCTCCCTCGGCACTCAGTGATAAAAGAGGACGTAAAGATGAAGTTCCACTATAGTGTTCTTCTTCTTCTTCTTTGATCCTTCTGTCAGAAAACTTATATCAGGAGGCCGGTATTCTTTATGAAAGCTATCGTGCAATCCATATCTTCTCGTGTACCATACAGTTTTGTCTTCATTGTGGTTGGGACAGGCCAGATTGCGTCTCTGTTGTCAGCATACAGTTGACAGTATTGGAGCACATGCTCAGCATTTTCGGGTACCACGCTGCAGGGACACGTCACAGTGTTTCCTACACCGAAAAATGTGAACATATGTTGACGAAATCTGTTGTGCCCAGTCCTTAGTATGAATATAATACACTGTCCCTCTCTAGAGAGGCGATGAAGTGAGTTTTGGGGAAAATATCTGGTGTGGGTATCCAGCCACCTTTCTTGGATACTAGATTGTATATAGTGGTTAGAATCTTTCATACCATTTAACTGTCAATTCTGTACAGACACTAATTAATATATGTTTGCAGTCTATTAGTGCTTGTTTTAATCATTCTCCGTAATTATCAATGCTAATCAGATAATAAACTTCAATATTTTGTTTGCTTTCATTCTTTGTTCCCCACTTTTAAATATTTCCTAATAGCAAAAAAGTTCACTGTGTTTTTTATATTCTCTTCATTTTTCTGTTCTGCCATCTTTGTCCACACTGCTGCTTAAATAGACATGATTCTGCCTCTTGAAGTAAGGTTTCACCAAAGAAAACTTGGTTACAATTTACTTAATGTATTCATGTTATCCTTCTCTTGCCTCCAAACTTTAAAAAAACAAAATGACCTTCCATTCAGATTGTTGAACTTATCTTGCATGTGATTCTGTGTTTGGGACAGATGGTCATTGTCATCAGTAAAGTCCAGATCATCAAGCTCTTTAGTAAGGGGAAACAACTTACCACTTGATAAACTGTGTCCCTTTCTAGGGCTGTCTTTTCTGCCTGAAGAAGACAGAAGGATATTTTCAACATCTATGACTCATTAGTACTAGTATTATTATTTTACATTAAATTTCAGTAGGGAGGCCAGAAATCAACAGCCTGCACACAAATAAGATGATAATATGACAATGTGCACTCAACATTCAAGTTCTGGACTGAGTCCAGAAGTAGATAAATAACCAGAACTTTTCACCAGAGTTTACAGCAAATGATACAAAGAAGAAGAAAGAGAACTAAAATAATGCAAACAGAGATAAATACACTTTTCATAAAAGAGTAAAACATAATTCTGATCAAATTAACTGGCTGAAACATAATTCTAATCAAATTAACTGGCATTAAAAAATATATATATACCCATTTTGAAGAACTTTTAATGAACAGAACAACAAGCAAAGAAATAATGCAGTACAGAATGCCCATATATTATAACATACAAACCACATTATAAATAATACCCTGTTTTTACATGATGCAGTCATGTACCCCCCTGTAAACAATGTTGAAATGATTAGAGACTTAAATTACCAGAATTCCTTAATCTCACAAGATACTGACAGAAGCGAAAACACAGAGACAATATTTCTGAGAGAAAACAAAAACAATAATGTCACCAGAATAAAAGCCATCTTCATCATCAGCTAATTCTGAGAGCACAATTAGAATTGTCCAAATATGGTTATATAGGTCAACAGCAAGAATGTCATGGTAGGAGGGGGAAACCCAAAAGTTATTTCAAAAACTGGGACTGACTTATTGAGTTATCCAGGATGTATAAGATCAAATCTTCTAGCACAAGGCTATTCAACTAAGGGCCAAAATGTTGGAAATGGGGACTTTCATGGGCCAGAGAACCAAGCTCCAGTACACTTGGCAATGATGCATGGTCCATTGGCGGACCAGATTTAGCCCAGGGTTAGCCAGGTGAGAAGCTCTGCTCTATCTCTTCTGTGACTCCCAATGAAGCGTAGATCATCAACCAAACTATGGCCGGCCGTTTACAGACTGGTTCATTATTAGTTGCATTTTTCAGCTTAATCTTTCTATGAGGTAATACATACAGCCTTTATGCCAACCTGCCTTAGTTGCCTCATATGACATACATGGTGTGTTACAGAGTTACTATTCAGTGCATCCTTTATGGGGGATGGTAACACATCAATGATCCTCATCATCATCTAATTCTCCGAAATGATGAGCAATGAGTTCTGGACATTGGTCCTGTTCCACCTGAGTTTTGTATGCACATCCATTTAACAGATCTGGTTTATTTGTTTGCAGACTGTTGGTTCCTTACCCTCCAACTTTGAAGGAAACATCCCTAATCTGTCGCCCTGTAGGACATGCTTGTTGTTGTTGTTGGAAAGGGAGGAGGGGGAAAGAGGAGACGAGGTAGTGATGGAACCTACCACTTTGATCACATTGGCTAGTTGTTCCTGGGTGACCATCTCTTTGTTTTCAGAAAGTTCAATAGCTCTGTGCAACACGGACATCTTCTCTTGGGCACGCCTGAGAGAAGGAAGAAACAAAAGGCTGGTATTATCGTCACATGTCAGTCTCAAGGCTGGTATATATTCTAGATCTAACTATGGTTACAGACACATCACATGTCAGTCTCATGGCTGGTATATGTTCTATACCTAACTATGATCACAGAAATGTCCCTCTCAAGGCTGGTATACATTCTAGACCTAAATATGATCACAGAAATGTCCCTTTCAAGGCTGGTATATATTCTAGACCTAACTATGGTTATAGACACATCACATGTCAGTCTCACGGCCGGTATATATTCTAGATCTAACTATGGTTACAGACACATATGTCAGTCTCAAGGCCGGTATATATTCTAGATCTAACTATGGTTACAGACACATCACATGTCAGTCTCAAGGCCGGTATATATTCTAGACCTAACTATGATTATAGACACATCACATGTCAGCCTCAAGGCTGGTATATATTCTAGACCTAACTATGGTTACAGACACATCACATGTCAGTCTCATGGCCGGTATATATTCTATATCTAACTATGGTTACAGACACATCACATGTCAGTCTCAAGGCTGGTATATGTTCTATACCTAACTATGATTATAGACACATCACATGTCAGTCTCAAGGCTGGTATATATTCTAGATCTAACTATGGTTACAGACACATCACATGTCAGTCTCACGGCCGGTATATATTCTAGATCTAACTATGGTTACAGACACATCACATGTCAGTCTCAAGGCTGGTATATATTCTAGACCTAACTATGATTATAGACACATCACATGTCAGTCTCAAGGCTGGTATATGTTCTAGACCTAACTATGGTTACAGACACATCACATGTCAGTCTCATGGCTGGTATATGTTCTATACCTAACTATGATCAAAGAAATGTCCCTCTCAAGGCTGGTATACATTCTAGACCTAAATATGATCACAGAAATGTCCCTTTCAAGGCTGGTATATATTCTAGACCTAACAGTTGTTACAGACACATCACATGTCAGTCTCACGGCTGGTATATATTCTAGATCTAACTATGGTTACAGACACATCACATGTCAGTCTCAAGGCTGGTATATATTCTAGACCTAACTATGGTTATAGACACATCACATGTCAGTCTCAAGGCCGGTATATATTCTAGACCTAGCAGTTGTTACAGACACATCACATGTCAGTCTCACAGCTGTTATATATTCTAAACCTAACTAAGGTTATAGAAATGTCACATTTCAGTCTCAAAGCTTGTATATATTTGATAACTCACACAAAGTGTGTAGTCATGTCACAAACATCTGAATACTTTTTTAACATTGCAATGGTACTTACTGAAATGATTTCTGGAGAGCTGCAATCTCAGCTTTACAGCCCTTATTTTCAGCTTTCAACTCTATCAGTTCGTTGGCCAATCTCCTCCTTTCCTCTTCTGATGCCTGCACAGATATGTGATAACATTTTAGGACCCACACAAACAAGCACTTTCTTCTGCATCATTATTTCTCCTTTGGCTACTCATGTTTTTTCGGCCACAAGGTGTAGCACAACTCTCTTCCTTGTGTAAGCTGATGTCACACCCAGGTTCGTCTTTGGTTTGCTAAAGGAGGAATCAACTGGAAGAGAATGGACGAGGAGAAAGAAAGTCGTGTCGATAGTAGGGATGATGATGTCTTGCTAGCTGCATGCTTCTCACGTGACTCTGATGCTTGCATAATAAAATGTAGTATAACAACTATTCCTTTTCTATACTGTCTTTATTTTTATACCCCAGCAATGTCACGAATAACATTAATGATATTTGCGCTGTTTTAGCTCTGTGGTTACATACTTGTAAGTCGCCTTGTGTTCTTTATCCCTAGTTACTTTGTTAACAGGTTCAAGTGTCTGTAACTGCCACCTGGCTTCTTGTGCTGTCTGGTACTAACAGTTTGATCATCGACTCCAACATCTTAGTAATGTTGCTACCAAACGTGTCTCTGTTAACCTTGGATCCATGTGTGTTGTCTTTGTAGTTTGATGTCTTGTTTCATGTCTACTCTCTAGTGTCTGTGTTCGAGGCTCCGTGTGACTGGCTCCTCTTCCTCTAGTGTTGAGCTGACATCTCCACAAATGCGAGGCTCCATGTCACTAGTCCCTCCTCTTCTCTCAGACTGAAAGGTGAATATTTTCATCTTTGAGGGTCAATATTACTAGTCCCTCCTATCCTAGGTCTCGATGACTGAAGGATTACCTAAGTGATTTCTTACCCACTATTTATACTAAGGTGCTGGAATGTATGGTATGTTTTGTACTCACTAACTGCTGTTAGAATATTCTAGTGCGGCTCAACAAGTTTATTATGTGCGTTCTCACGTGGGATTTTTTAACTGCGTTTGGATTGCATCAGATAGTCTACACCAAAATATACTAATTGGATTGACAGGTGTCCTTCTATGGCCTTCTAGAAAGTCAGTATGATAAGGCTCTCGTTATTTGATATGGCACATCAACGATTACATCAGATGCTATTTACATAACTAGGTTATTCATTTGCAAAAAATTCTCTGCACTTGATGGTTCTAGAATGGAATGTCCAGATTACTAAGACCTGTTGACTGGGGTCCCTACAACTAATAAGCAATATTCTACCTCCTGACAAACAAGCGATGAGGTATCTTTGTTACTAAGGTCAAAAAAAGACATCTGGAAAGATCTATCTCTGGTGTGTGCTTGATACATAATGGTGTTTCTTTTTCAAATTCTACCTCTGATCTCCCAACAGAGCACAGGCTCTCAACCATTCACACCAGACTTGACCATGACTGGTTGGATAAAACAGCTACAGTTTTTTAAGGGATGAAGTCGATCTGAGTTTAGGTGAGGTAAGAATTGACATCAGAGCACTCGGGCATTCCCATAAGCACTCTATCCCCATCTTCAACAGTCAGCAAACAGTCCCAATTCTGCTGTAAATATTGTTTTTCCTCTGAGTGCCGGCCAGATCTCATGGTATGTGCTTCATACATGACAGTTTTCTTCTTCTTGATATTCTACCTCTGATCTCTAAAAAGAGCACATATACTTGTCCATGACTGGTTGGATAAATCAGCTACAGTTTTATAAGGGAAGAAGTTTATCTGAGTTTAGTTGAGGTAAGAATTAACATCAGAGCACTTGGGCATTTCCATAAGCACTCTATCCCCATCTTCAACAGTCAGCAAACAGTCCCAATTCTGTTGTCAATCTTGTTTTTCTTCTGAGTAATGAGTGCTGGCCAGATCTCACCAATGCCTCCCCCCCCTTCCACCCCGCCTTCCTTTTCCCCACTTCTCTCTCCAGACTGTGACAATCTGTTTGCACTTCCACATTGTCTATTTTCTCCCAGAGGGCTCTGACTCTATCAAGCTGGTTTGTACGTTACTGTTACATGTTTTACTGTTTACATGCAATGTTATGTCAAATGTCAGAGTGAAATAACATCTGAAAGTTGAGAGTTGAGAAGAACAGAATACTATAAGGCCTGGGTGTCTTGTTCTTTGAATGTGCTGTTCTTTTATTCACTTCTTTTGTCGACCGATCACCATTTGATCTTCTTCTACTTCTTCTTCACTTCCTCTTTTACCGCTGTGGGTGTCGAGGGAGATATAAGGTTCTGTTTCTAGCTCTTCTGGCTGCCTCGACCATAGGCACATCGTGCTGTTGTAGAGTTTCTCTGATGTTATCCTTCCATCTTGTTCTTGGTCACAATACAATAATTTATTAACATAACACATTGAGCACATTTGTTGCTTTAATTATGGCTTCATTCACTATTCCTTTATCTTACTGACTCGACCTCTCATCTTTGACCTAGTTCTGATTCAACCTCTTACCTTTAACCTGACCTTGACTGAATCAATCTCCTTTTCAATGAGTTCCTTTTCCTCTGTCACTGACCTGTTGTGAGACACAGAGAATGTGTATACTATTGTTGATTTGACATCAGCAAAACTTTGATGACCTTTTCTAAGGAATTATGGTGGTCTATTCATCATCCGTAACTATTTTTTTAAAGTAGTCAATAATATACACATGCTCACTTTCTTCTTTCCAGGCATAGACTGTCATTAATCAATCACTGTCTTCCCTTTCCAGGCATAGACTGTCATTAATCAATCATTCTCTTCCCTTTCCAGGCATAGACTGTCATTAATCAATCATTCTCTTCCCTTTCCAGGCATAGACTGTCATTAATCAATCATTCTCTTCCCTTTCCAGACAAAGACTGTCATTAATCAATCATTCTCTTCCCTTTCCAGGCATAGACTGTCATTAATCAATCATTCTCTTCCCTTTCCAGGCAAAGACTGTCATTAATCAATCATTCTCTTCCCTTTCCAGGCAAAGACTGTCATTAATCAATCATTCTCTTCCCTTTCCAGGCAAAGACTGTCATTAATCAATCATTCTCTTCCCTTTCCAGGCATAGACTGTCATTAATCAATCATTCTCTTCCCTTTCCAGGCAAAGACTGTCATTAATCAATCATTCTCTTCCCTTTCCAGGCATAGACTGTCATTAATCAATCATTCTCTTCCCTTTCCAGGCATAGACTGTCATTAATCAATCATTCTCTTCCCTTTCCAGGCATAGACTGTCATTAATCAATCATTCTCTCCTTTCCAGGCATAGACTGTCATTAATCAACCATTCTCTTCCCTTTCCAGGCATAGACTGTCATTAATCAATCATTCTCTTCCCTTTCCAGGCATAGACTGTCATTAATCAATCATTCTCTTCCCTTTCCAGGCATAGACTGTCATTAATCAATCATTCTCTTCCCTTTCCAGACAAAGACTGTCATTAATCAATCATTCTCTTCCCTTTCCAGGCATAGACTGTCATTAATCAATCATTCTCTTCCCTTTCCAGGCAAAGACTGTCATTAATCAATCATTCTCTTCCCTTTCCAGGCAAAGACTGTCATTAATCAATCATTCTCTTCCCTTTCCAGGCAAAGACTGTCATTAATCAATCATTCTCTTCCCTTTCCAGGCAAAGACTGTCATTAATCAATCATTCTCTTCTCTTTCCAGGCATAGACTGTCATTAATCAATCATTCTCTTCCCTTTCCAGGCATAGACTGTCATTAATCAATCATTCTCTTCCCTTTCCAGGCATAGACTGTCATTAATCAATCATTCTCTTCCCTTTCCAGGCATAGACTGTCATTAATCAATCATTCTCTTCCCTTTCCAGGCATAGACTGTCATTAATCAATCATTCTCTTCCCTTTCCAGGCAAAGACTGTCATTAATCAATCATTCTCTTCCCTTTCCAGGCAAAGACTGTCATTAATCAATCATTCTCTTCTCTTTCCAGGCATAGACTGTCATTAATCAATCATTCTCTTCCCTTTCCAGGCATAGACTGTCATTAATCAACCATTCTCTTCCCTTTCCAGGCATAGACTGTCATTAATCAATCATTCTCTTCCCTTTCCAGGCATAGACTGTCATTAATCAATCATTCTCTTCCCTTTCCAGGCATAGACTGTCATTAATCAACCATTCTCTTCCCTTTCCAGGCATAGACTGTCATTAATCAATCATTCTCTTCCCTTTCCAGGCAAAGACTGTCATTAATCAATCATTCTCTTCCCTTTCCAGGCAAAGACTGTCACAAATTATAAATTTTTTCCCATTTCCAAGCAAAGACTGTCATAAATCAACCATTCTCTCCCGCTTCCAAGCCTAGATTATCATAAATCAATCATTCTCTCCCGCTTCCAAGCCTAGATTATCATAAATCAACCATTCTCTCCCACTTCCAAGCCTAGATTATCATAAATCAATCATTCTCTCCTGCTTCCAAGCCTAGATTATCATAAATCAACCATTCTCTCCTGCTTCCAAGCCTAGATTATCATAAATCAATCATTATCTCCTGCTTCCAAGCCTAGATTATCATAAATCAATCATTCTCTCCCACTTCCAAGCCTAGATTATCATAAATCAATCATTCTCTCCCACTTCCAAGCATAGATTGTTGCAAATCACTATCTCCTTTTTCCAAGCATAGACTGTCACAAATCACTATCTCCTTTTTCCAAGCATAGACTGTCATAAATCAATCACTGTCTTCCCTTCCCTAGCATAGATTGTCATATATCAATCACTGTCTCCCCTTTCCAAACAGAGACTGCCATAAATCAATCACTGTCTCCCCTTTCCAAACAGAGTCTGCCATTATTCAATCACTGTCTCCCCTTTCCAAACAGAGACTGCCATAAATCAATCACTGTCTCTCCTTTCCAAACAGAGACTGTCATAAATCAATCACTGTCACCCCTTTCCTAGTAAAGACTGTCATAAAAACATCCCTCTTTCCCCTTTCAAAGTCATCTGCTGCCAAATCATGTGCTGGAATTGAACTGGACATTACAAAAAAATGACCTATAAAATTTGCCATTTGCTTCACTTCTCATTTTCCTGGTAGTATACCCTTCTTCTCGACTTATAACTTACGCCTATCTGCACTTATGACCACACACACACACTAAAGTACATAAATAAAAATTACATTAGAGGGTCAAACCCAGAACTGATGCAACGGCGTAAATAATAATAATTGTTCACAGTATATACAATAACTTTACATACATTTTTGTGTTTTAAGTAGAATTTGCACAACCTGTTTGAATGAAAACTGTTGAAATATATCAGTTCGACTTAGGACCAGTTAACTTAATAGTGAAACAGAACTCAGTTGTAAGTCGAGGAAAGCCTGTATATTATAATGGGTTTCTTATTTGCTTTAACAGAGCTGAAGAATCCAACAGTGCCTTACCTCTTGATGTCAGAGATTGTGTTGATGTGTGTGTGCACTTGAACACGAGAATCTGATTCCATCACCAACTGGTCATGCTTGTGTTTTATCTCTCGGAAACGAACTCTCATCTGCTCCAGCTCCCGTTCCAAATCTGCCTTCTCTCCTTCAGACAGTGCCAGCTTTCTGGCCATCCTTGAAACTTCAACAAGAAATCAATTATGCCAGATTGTTCACTCACAAGCAGTAACTTCAAAGTGTAGTCACAAGTTTATTAGGCAGTTCTGTAGCTTAAAGGTTAGTGAATGTGTTTAACAATCCCCACAATCTGAACTCTCTTGTGTCACTTAAAAATAAAAATCCTTTTGAGAGTGTTACCTTCTTCTTCGTCTTAGCATTCCCCAACTGTAAACTCCAGTGGAAAGTTTCCTGACTGTTTGTCCACTTCTGGACTTTAGTCTTATGCTAGAACCCGAGTTTTGTGTGCACATTCGTTTGACAGATCTGGTGTATTTACATGCAGTCCTTTGATTCTTTGTTTCTCAGGCAGATACAGGATGAATCTTGAAGTAAGCTCCCCTGATTAGTCGACTTTTATTACACGCTCATAAAGGGCAGTAGGTGTTTTTGTTGTTTTTGGCTCTTACATTGAGACCCCGCAACCTGCATGTAGAGGAGAGTGGTATATGAGCAGCACGTAGAGGAGAGTGGTATGTGAGCTGCATGTAGAGGAGAGTGGTATATGAGCTGCATGTAGAGGAGAGTGGTATATGAGCTGCATGTAGAGGGGAGTGGTATATGAGCAGCACGTAGAGGAGAGTGGTATGTGAGCTGCACGTAGAGGAGAGTGGTATATGAGCAGCACGTAGAGGAGAGTGGTATATGAGCAGCACGTAGAGGAGAGTGGTATGTGAGCTGCACGTAGAGGAGAGTGGTATATGAGCAGCACGTAGAGGAGAGTGGTATATGAGCAGCATGTAGAGGAGAGTGGTATGTGAGCTGCACATAGAAGAGAGTGGTATGTGAGCTGCACATAGAGGAGAGGGGTATATGAGCAGCACATAGAGGAGAGTGGTATGTGAGCTGCACATAGAGGAGAGTGGTATATGAGCAGCACGTAGAGGAGAGTGGTATGTGAGCAGCACGTAGAGGAGAGTGGTATGTGAGCTGCACGTGAAGGAGAGTGGTATGTGAACTGCACATAGAGGAGAGTGGTATGTGAGCTGCACATAGAGGAGAGTGGTATGTGAGCTGCAGGTAGAGGAGAATGGTATGTGAGCTGCACGTAGAGGAGAGTGGTATGTGAGCTGCACGTAGAGGAGAGTGGTAAGTGAGCTGCACGTAGAGGAGAGTAGTATGTGAGCTGCACGTAGAGGAGAGCGGTATGTGAGCTGCACATAGAGGAGAGCGGTATGTGAGCTGCACGTGGAGGAGAGCGGTATGTGAGCTGCACGTGGAGGAGAGTGGTATGTGAGCTGCACGTGGAGGAGAGTGGTATGTGAGCTGCACGTGGAGGAGAGTGGTATGTGAGCTGCACGTGGAGGAGAGTGGTATGTGAGCTGCATGTAGAGGAGAGTGGTATATGAGCAGCATGTAGAGGAGAGTGGTATGTGAGCTGCACGTAGAGGAGAGTGGTATATGAGCAGCACGTAGAGGAGAGTGGTATGTGAGCTGCATGTAGAGGAGAGTGGTATGTGAGCAGCACGTAGAGGAGAGTGGTATATGAGCTGCACGTAGAGGAGAGTGGTATGTGAGCTGCACGTGGAGGAGAGTGGTATGTGAGCTGCATGTAGAGGAGAGTGGTATGTGAGCAGCACGTAGAGGAGAGTGGTATATGAGCAGCACATAGAGGAGAGTGGTATGTGAGCAGCACGTAGAGGAGAGTGGTATGTGAGCAGCACGTAGAGGAGAGTGGTATGTGAGCAGCATGTAGAGGAGAGTGGTATGTGAGCAGCATGTAGAGGAGAGTGGTATGTGAGCAGCATGTAGAGGAGAGTGGTATATGAGCTGCACGTAGAGGAGAGTGGTATATGAGCAGCATGTAGAGGAGAGTGGTATATGAGCTGCATGTAGAGGAGAGTGGTATATGAGCAGCATGTAGAGGAGAGTGGTATATGAGCAGCATGTAGAGGAGAGTGGTATATGAGCAGCATGTAGAGGAGAGTGGTATATGAGCTGCACGTGGAGGAGAGTGGTATGTGAGCTGCACATAGAGGAGAGTGGTATGTGAGCTGCACATAGAGGAGAGTGGTATATGAGCAGCACCTAGAGGAGAGTGGTATATGAGCTGCACGTGGAGAAGAGTGGTATGTGAGCTGCACGTGGAGAAGAGTGGTATGTGAGCTGCACGTAGAGGAGAGTGGTATGTGAGCTGCACGTAGAGGAGAGTGGTATGTGAGCTGCAAGTAGAGGAGAGTGGTATTTGAGCAGCACGTAAAGGAGAGTGGTATATGAGCAGCACGTAGAGGAGAGTGGTATATGAGCAGCACGTAGAGGAGAGTGGTATGTGAGCTGCACGTAGAGGAGAGTGGTATGTGAGCTGCACGTAGAGGAGAGTGGTATGTGAGCAGCACGTAGAGGAGAGTGGTATGTGAGCTGCACGTGAAGGAGAGTGGTATGTGAGCTGCACGTAGAGGAGAGTGATATGTGAGCTGCACGTAGAGAAGAGTGGTATATGAGCAGCACGTAGAGGAGAGTGGTATGTGAGCTGCACGTAGAGGAGAGTGGTATGTGAGCTGCACGTAGAGGAGAGTGGTATGTGAGCTGCACGTAGAGAAGAGTGGTATGTGAGCTGCACGTGGAGGAGAGTGGTATGTGAGCTGCATGTAGAGGAGAGTGGTATGTGAGCTGCACGTAGAGGAGAGTGGTATGTGAGCTGCACGTAGTGGAGAGTGGTATGTGAGTAGCACGTAGAGCAGAGTATTATTAACAATTAAAAAAAAAAAGTTCAAAAAACATGATGCTCACTTTCAGTCTCCTGTGCTTTGTACATGTCCTTGGATTTCAGGGTCTGAACCTCCAGCTGCTCCATCAGGATCTGGTTCTCCTCCAGTACCAGTTTGGCCTGCTCCTGGAGATGGTTCCTGGCACAGGAAGGAGAAACATTTGACAAAATGGACTCTTCACTAACATGCCTTTGGTAAAACTGAATATTTGACTGTACAAATGTAACTGTCAAACTCTCTTGCAAGTTTCAGCTAATCTGTAACTTACTTTCTTTTATCTTTTGCTTTCTCCCATTTATTCCCTTCAATCTTCCTTCCTTTATCAATTACACTAAATAGTGGGTTACATTACTACTCTCTGTTTCTCTAATAACACAAGCAAAAACTATACTAGATTACAAACTCCCCTTCCCCCTCCAACAAGTTGTTAAAAAAAAAAATTAATTGTGTGTCCTTTACGGAAAGTTTCAGAACCAACCCCAGCATTTTCTAGCTGTTGTGGCTTTGCTAGGCAAATTTTATATTCAGTAGTTTGCCACTGCTTTCTGAATGGTCAGCATTTGTACCACTGTCGAAATCAATGCAAGACATTTTGCTGCCAAACTGCCCACAGCTGGGATCAAATCCAGCACGATGAAGTGCATTCGTAACACCTAAGCCACAGTTGCCGAGACAGAACAGAGGTAAGGTAACACATCTAAGCCACAGTTGCCGAGACAGAACAGAGGTAAGGTAACACACCTAAGCCACAGTTGCCGAGACAGAACAGAGGTAAGGTAACACACCTAAGCCACAGTTGCCGAGACAGAACAGAGGTAAGGTAACACACCTAAGCCACAGTTGCCGAGACAGAACAGAGGTAAGGTAACACATCTAAGCCACAGTTGCCGAGACAGAACAGAGGTAAGGTAACACATCTAAGCCACAGATGCCGAGACAGAACAGAGGTAAGGTAACACATCTAAGCCACAGTTGCCGAGACAGAACAGAGGTAAGGTAACACACCTAAGCCACAGTTGCCGAGACAGAACAGAGGTAAGGTAACACATCTAAGCCACAGATGCCGAGACAGAACAGAGGTAAGGTAACACATCTAAGCCACAGTTGCCGAGACAGAACAGAGGTAAGGTAACACATCTAAGCCACAGATGCCGAGACAGAACAGAAGTAAGGTAACACACCTAAGCCACAGTTGCCGAGACAGAACAGAGGTAAGGTAACACACCTAAGCCACAGTTGCCGAGACAGAACAGAGGTAAGGTAACACACCTAAGCCACAGTTGCCGAGACAGAACAGAGGTAAGGTAACACATCTAAGCCACAGATGCCGAGACAGAACAGAGGTAAGGTAACACATCTAAGCCACAGTTGCCGAGACAGAACAGAGGTAAGGTAACACATCTAAGCCACAGTTGCCGAGACAGAACAGAGGTAAGGTAACACACCTAAGCCACAGTTGCCGAGACAGAACAGAGGTAAGGTAACACATCTAAGCCACAGTTGCCGAGACAGAACAGAGGTAAGGTAACACACCTAAGCCACAGTTGCCGAGACAGAACAGAGGTAAGGTAACACACCTAAGCCACAGTTGCCGAGACAGAACAGAGGTAAGGTAACACACCTAAGCCACAGTTGCCGAGACAGAACAGAGGTAAGGTAACACATCTAAGCCACAGTTGCCGAGACAGAACAGAGGTAAGGTAACACATCTAAGCCACAGTTGCCGAGACAGAACAGAGGTAAGGTAACACACCTAAGCCACAGTTGCCGAGACAGAACAGAGGTAAGGTAACACATCTAAGCCACAGATGCCGAGACAGAACAGAGGTAAGGTAACACATCTAAGCCACAGATGCCGAGACAGAACAGAGGTAAGGTAACACATCTAAGCCACAGTTGCCGAGACAGAACAGAGGTAAGGTAACACACCTAAGCCACAGTTGCCGAGACAGAACAGAGGTAAGGTAACACATCTAAGCCACAGTTGCCGAGACAGAACAGAGGTAAGGTAACACATCTAAGCCACAGTTGCCGAGACAGAACAGAGGTAAGGTAACACATCTAAGCCACAGTTGCCGAGACAGAACAGAGGTAAGGTAACACATCTAAGCCACAGTTGCCGAGACAGAACAGAGGTAAGGTAACACACCTAAGCCACAGTTGCCGAGACAGAATAGAGGTAAGGTAACACATCTAAGCCACAGTTGCCGAGACAGAACAGAGGTAAGGTAACACACCTAAGCCACAGATGCCGAGACAGAACAGAAGTAAGGTAACACATCTAAGCCACAGTTGCCGAGACAGAACAGAGGTAAGGTAACACATATGTCTCACCACTCAGTGCTGTCCCCTTGGCCTCCTAGTCCTGGTGCTCCGGTCCTCCGCAGCATCTGATTCTCTGCCACAACTTGCTCCACTCTTGTCTTGATAGAAGCACACTCATTCTGTGTACAAGATTCACAGTAAATTATTCTTATAAGACACCATTAACAAAATCTAATTCCCAGCCGTATCAGACAGACTGAAGACTGTACAGTTGAGATTTCCCAATACAAACTAGTTTATATGTGAGATGAATATGAGTAAAATGGCAGACCTAAAGTATGTAATAGATTGCAAACAAAACAATGTAAAAAGCCCTTTATTTTCAAACAATGTAAAAGACACTTTGTAATGACGGAAGATTCCAAAATGAGTGAATTCTTACTTTGAAATGTTCAATGATTTCATCCTTCTTGGCCAGATGGTCATCATATGCCAGGAACAAAGGTGCCAGATATTTCTTGCTGATCTGAGTGAAAATAAATCTCACATTCACTCAAGAATAAAACTATAAACAACATTTTAGTCAACAGCATAGAGTATACACAAGAAAATTCCAAAATCAACCGTCCGCTAGTTTCTAATCATTGGTCAACGGCCAAACATTGGTCAACGGCTAAACATTGGTCAACGGCCAAACATTGGTCAACGGCCAAACCTAGGCTGGCAGAGGCTGGGCTGAAATTATCCATGCTGTGCTGCCCCGGATTAGCTGTGGGGAAAGACATCGAGGCCATTAGTTATCACGCAGAAGAATGATACCCTCGCTGAATGTGTTTTGGTATTTAGTATTTGATCATTACCAGGGCTTGTTTCTATAAAACAAAGGGGCCAGTACTCACCACAAAATGTATTTTACAGCAGTACTGAAAAAAGGTGGCCCACCATGGGAGGGGCCTGAGGGGGAGGGGGGGGGGTGGATACCACATTTAAATAACTATAATGGCTAAAGAATCACTCCAATAGCTGTATACCGTGAAACAACCAGTCTTTTTAAACTATGCAAGATCTATTTACCATGAAATGATAAATTCCTCCAAACAATGAAAAATTCATCTCTTTATACAATGAAAAATCAACCATGGGACCAATCATGGAACCAACCATGGAAAAATAATCAATCTCTTTATACGATGAAAAACCAACCATGGAACAAAATTAATCTAAACGAGAATTAAACTAACAAGCTTCCAAAATGTTCCTTTATTGCCTGATTGGTTTAATAATACAATTTTTTTCAAAGAAAATTTTCCTTCCTTGGAATAAATACTGAAAGATGACTCAAGTGACCCAATGAGACACAATTAGGGAGAGAATTCAACATGAGCAAGTCCCAGTTTAACCATGCAACAGAGTTATATTAACATGTGGTAAAAGTCGACTAATTAAGGGTGTTCCCTTCGAAGTCAGATTGCATCTGCCTGGAAGGTGGAGAGCCACCAATCTGCATACAAATAAGCAAGATCTGTAAAACAGATGTGCACGTGAAATTCAAATTCTGGAACAAGATCAAAGTACAGAAGTGGACAAACAACCAGAACTTTTTGCTGCTGTCACAGTCACCACAAACAAGAAGGATCAAAGATTTATGCAGAAAGTATTTAAAAAAAAAAATTGTTAAGTACGTGTTGTAAGTATTCTAAGCCAAAATACCATAGAAAGATTCTCTGGAAAAAGAAGAGGAGAAATACTGACATTTTAAAAGATCTGAACATCACGGAAGATTGGTTAATAAACCACATCTTGCCTCAGAGATGAAATATTTTGGTCACATCAAGTGCCACGGCGGATAAAAAAAAAAATAAAAGCAGAAGGCATGGTACTAGAAGGAAGGGCAGGGGCTGACCGACCCAAAGATGGGCACATGATATAAGTGACTCCTTGAGTGTGAAAGTACATGAGGTGGGAGAGCTGGTGAGAGACGGAGTTTCTTTCAGGCGGACCGTGATAAGAGCGATTTTCAGCAAAGGACCTGATACATGATAAATGAAGTATTTCATTATTAAAACTTACAGAAAGGCTCTATGTCTCTAAAGCTACATTACTTGACGACTTACCAGCCATGATGGTACAGGGCCGTCAGGTGGAAGACCGTTGATTTTTATAGTCTGAAACAAAAACCGTTCACATCAATTGGAGCCTCAAAATTTTTTTTTGGGGGGGGGGGGGGGGGGGGGGGGGGGAGAGGACAGACCTACTTGTCCCCCCCCCCCCCCCCCTCCCCTTCCATCACCCTGAACAAGCATGCATATAAAAAGTGACTTATAGTTTTTTTAAAAGCTGAAATGCATTTGCTTGAGAAGTGAGAAACCAACAGTCTGCATAGAACGAGGCCAGATCTGTAAAGTTGATGTGAAGCAGAAAGTTCTAGAACAAGACTAAAGTCCAGAAAAGAACAAAAAACCAAGACTTTCTGCCAGAGTCTGCAGTTAGTTAACACAAGAAGAAGTTCACATTATTGTAACTAGCATCACAACTGCCACCATCATCATCTTCATCACCATCCCCATTACTCTAGTACTGCCACTACTTTTGCAGTATAGGAAGGAAAAGGAAAAGAGGAGGGAAGGGGTTTGAACCGGAGGATTTAGGACTGCATAGATGGCTAGTGCAGTCACCATAAAAACCAGTTATCTCACTGAGGATTCAAACCTAGGTCTCATTGCATTTTCAACTATTCAGCCAGCCACTCTGTACGGCTATTACTATCATGAAAACATCACTCTGACATATTTCAACACACCTACACATCTACATACACACTGATACATCAACATCAATTTATATATCTATAAATATCCATATAATCAACATCTAGTTTGAGAATGGAGGTGGAGACAGTCACTGCTGCCTTCCTGTGGTTTGAGAATGGAGGTGGAGACAGTCACTGCTGCCTTCCTGTGGTTTGAGAACAGATTGCACACACATGTCGTAATTGTAGCTGTCTCACAGAGCATGCTGGAACAGGTATGCTCCGTGCAGAGTGGCAAGCATCTCTTCAGAGGTCCCGGGTAGTTAGCATCCTTTGGATATTCTCTCCAGGTCATACCGGTGGGTTGGGAAATGAGCAGGCAGATAGACTGGCTGGTTATGCATCACTTGGTGGTGAACTGATGTATGACAAGCTAGATGTTGTCAGGGCCCTTTGGAAGTGAGTGAAAAGTGCAGAGGCACAAATAGATCAATACAGTCTGAGGAGAATGGCAATGTGAGGAGTTATCAGAGGATATGGCCAACACTCAGGGGAAAGGCAAGACAGACATACAATCAGACAGTTACTGGTGCCATCATAACTGGAACTCTTTGCTTGCTGCTGAAGATGGGGGTGGGGCACTTATGGGAGTGTCCCGAGTGATGTGATGTTGATTCTTAATTCAACAATCAACAACATAGAATCAAACTGCTATAGGTACCATCAAGCATTAGAACCCTTCTCGGGAAGCTGAACATGAGGTTGGGGTGCTTATGGGAATCTGCAGAGTGCTGTGATGTCAGTTTTAACTCAGCTACACTCATCTACACATCCATTTACATAAGGACATTTTTTTTAAAAAACAGATCAAAAAGGCACAGAAAAGGGTGGCCCAATTTTGTACACAAAGATCAAAAAGGCACGGAGAAGGGTGGTACACATTTGTACACAAAGATCTGAAAGGCATGGAGATGGGTGGTACACATTTGTACACAAAGATTTAAAAGGCATGAGAAAGGGTGGTACAATTTGTACACAAAGATCTAAAAGGCATGGAGAAGGGTGGTACACACCTGTACACAAAGATCTAAAAGGCATGAGAAAGGGTGGTACACATTTGTACACAAACATCTAAAAGGCATGGAGAAGGGTGGTACACATTTGTACACAAACATCTAAAAGGCATGGAGAAGGGTGGTACACATTTGTACACAAACATCTAAAAGGCATGGAGAAGTGTGGTACACATTTGTACACAAACATCTAAAAGGCATGGAGAAGGGTGGTACACATATGTACATACTAATCTACTAAACTAAGAAAACCAAATACCTGCTGAAGTTGAGCCTCATCAATGGGTCTGAATTTGGCTTGGTAGTCACTAAGTTCAACGTTTAACCGGTGGACGGCAGACTTCAATATTTCATTCTCTTCTTTCAGTGTGTTTAAGTTCTTCTGGGAATACAAGGTCCTTGCACTTTCTATGTCTGTGTAGAAACCATTAAAACAGTTTACAGTGCAAAATTTCATAGAAATGCAGTGTTTGTGTCAGCACTAAGGATTCACTATAAGTGTCCACGTCTCCTTCCATAGACCATTCAAGGGAGCACACTCACTAGATATGTAAATTCCATAACCTGTTTCAGAGCAGAACCAATCAGCTGTAGAACTGCTAATATTTTAGGTCAAATGCAGCAGAGTATGGAAGAAGTATGTAGAAACGTGGCACAAGTGTATGTAGAAACGTGGCACAAGTGTATGTAGAAACGTGGCACAAGTGTATGTAGAAACGTGGCACAAGTGTATTTAGAAATGTGGCACAAGTGTATGTAGAAACGTGGCACAAGTGTATGTAGAAACGTGGCACAAGTGTATGTAGAAATGTAGCACAAGTGTATGTAGAAATGTGGCACAAGTGTATGTAGAAAAAAGGCACAAGTGTATGTAGAAATATGGCACAAGTGTATGTAGAAATGTGGCACAAGTGTATGTAGAAAAAAGGCACAAGTGTATGTAGAAATATGGCACAAGTGTATGTAGAAATGTGGCACAAGTGTATGTAGAAAAAAGGCACAAGTGTATGTAGAAATATGGCACAAGTGTATTTAGAAATGTGGCACAAGTGTATGTAGAAACGTGGCACAAGTGTGTGTAGAAATATGGCACAAGTGTAATTAGAAATATGGCACAAGTGTGTGTAGAAACGTGGCACAAGTGTATGTAGAAACGTGGCACAAGTGTATGTAGAAATATGGCACAAGTGTATGTAGAAATATGGCACAAGTGTATGTAGAAATATGGCACAAGTGTATGTAGAAACGTGGCACAAGTGTATGTAGAAACGTGGCACAAGTGTATGTAGAAACGTGGCACAAGTGTATGTAGAAATGTGGCACAAGTGTATGTAGAAATGTGGCACAAGTGTATGTAGAAAAAAGGCACAAGTGTATGTAGAAATATGGCACAAGTGTATGTAGAAACGTGGCACAAGTGTATGTAGAAATATGGCACAAGTGTATGTAGAAATGTGGCACAAGTGTATGTAGAAAAAAAGCACAAGTGTATGTAGAAATATGGCACAAGTGTATGTAGAAATGTGGCACAAGTGTATGTAGAAATGTGGCACAAGTGTATGTAGAAAAAAGGCACAAGTGTATGTAGAAATATGGCACAAGTGTATGTAGAAACGTGGCACAAGTGTATGTAGAAATATGGCACAAGTGTATGTAGAAACGTGGCACAAGTGTATGTAGAAAAAAGGCACAAGTGTATGTAGAAATATGGCACAAGTGTATGTAGAAATGTGGCACAAGTGTATGTAGAAACATGGCACAAGTGTATGTAGAAACGTGGCACAAGTGTATGTAGAAAAAAGGCACAAGTGTATGTAGAAATATGGCACAAGTGTATGTAGAAATATGGCACAAGTGTATGTAGAAATATGGCACAAGTGTATGTAGAAACGTGGCACAAGTGTATGTAGAAACGTGGCACAAGTGTATGTAGAAACGTGGCACAAGTGTATGTAGAAATATGGCACAAGTGTATGTAGAAATATGGCACAAGTGTATGTAGAAACGTGGCACAAGTGTATGTAGAAACGTGGCACAAGTGTATGTAGAAACGTGGGACAAGTGTATGTAGAAACGTGGGACAAGTGTATGTAGAAATGTGGCACAAATGTATGTAGAAATGTGGCACAAGTGTATGTAGAAATGTGGCACAAGTGTATGTAGAAACGTGGCACAAGTGTATGTAGAAACGTGGCACAAGTGTATGTAGAAATGTGGCACAAGTGTATGTAGAAACGTGGCACAAGTGTATGTAGAAATGTGGCACAAGTGTATGTAGAAACGTGGCACAAGTGTATGTAGAAACGTGGCACAAGTGTATGTAGAAATATGGCACAAGTGTATGTAGAAATATGGCACAAGTGTATGCAGGTTGCAACAAAGCACACTGCTGATGGATGAATTTGCTCAAAATACAGTTGTGTCACTCTATCCCTTATTTCAGTAAGCAGAAACATTTGAGTCATTTACAGAAACAAAACAATATTTGACAGCCATTTAAAGAAACAAAACAATATTTGACAGCCATTTAAAGTAAAGAAACAAAACAATATTTGACAGCCATTTAAAGAAACAAAACAATATTTGACAGCCATTTAAAGAAACAAAACAATATTTGACAGCCATTTAAAGTAAAGAAACAAAACAATATTTGACAGCCATTTAAAGAAACAAAACAACATTTGACAGCCATTTAAAGAAACAAAACAATATTTGACAGCCATTTAAAGAAACAAAACAATAATTGACAGCCATTTAAAGAAACAAAACAATATTTGACAGCCATTTAAAGTAAAGAAACAAAACAATATTTGACAGCCATTTAAAGAAACAAAACAACATTTGACAGCCATTTAAAGAAACAAAACAATATTTGACAGCCATTTAAAGTAAAGAAACAAAACAATATTTGACAGCCATTTAAAGAAACAAAACAATATTTGACAGCCATTTAAAGAAACAAAACAACATTTGACAGCCATTTAAAGTAAAGAAACAAAACAATATTTGACAGCCATTTAAAGAAACAAAACAATATTTGACAGCCATTTAAAGTAAAGAAACAAAACAACATTTGACAGCCATTTAAAGTAAAGAAACAAAACAACATTTGACAGCCATTTAAAGTAACAAAACAACATTTGACAGCCATTTAAAGAAACAAAACAATATTTGACAGCCATTTAAAGTAAAGAAACAAACAATATTTGACAGCCATTTAAAGAAAAAAAACAACATTTGACAGCCATTTTAAAGAAACAAAACAATATTTGACAGCCATTTAAAGAAACAAAACAATAATTGACAGCCATTTAAAGAAACAAAACAATATTTGACAGCCATTTAAAGTAAAGAAAAACAAAACAATATTTGACAGCCATTTAAAGAAACAAAACAACATTTGACAGCCATTTAAAGAAACAAAAAAATATATTTGACAGCCATTTAAAGTAAAGAAACAAAACAATATTTGACAGCCATTTAAAGAAACAAAACAATATTTGACAGCCATTTAAAGAAACAAAACAACATTTGACAGCCATTTAAAGTAAAGAAACAAAACAATATTTGACAGCCATTTAAAGAAACAAAACAATATTTGACAGCCATTTAAAGTAAAGAAACAAAACAACATTTGACAGCCATTTAAAGTAAAGAAACAAAACAACATTTGACAGCCATTTAAAGTAACAAAACAACATTTGACAGCCATTTAAAGAAACAAAACAATATTTGACAGCCATTTAAAGTAAAGAAACAAAACAATATTTGACAGCCATTTAAAGAAACAAAACAACATTTGACAGCCATTTAAAGAAACAAAACAACATTTGACAGCCATTTAAAGAAACAAAACAATATTTGACAGCCATTTAAAGTAAAGAAACAAAACAATATTTGACAGCCATTTAAAGTAAAGAAACAAAACAATATTTGACAGCCATTTAAAGTAAAGAAACAAAACAATATTTGACAGCCATTTAAAGAACAAAAATATTTGAAGCCATTTTTTTTAAAAAACAAAAAAACATTTGACAGCCATTTAAAGTAAAGAAACAAAACAATATTTGACAGCCATTTAAAGTAAAGAAACAAAACAATATTTGACAGCCATTTAAAGTAAAGAAACAAAACAAGATTTGACAGCCGTTTAAAGTAAAGAAACAAAACAATATTTGACAGCCATTTAAAGTAAAGAAACAAAACAATATTTGACAGCCATTTAAAGAAACAAAACAATATTTGACAGCCATTTAAAGTAAAGAAACAAAACAATATTTGACAGCCATTTAAAGAAACAAAACAATATTTGACAGCCATTTAAAGTAAAGAAACAAAACAATATTTGACAGCCATTTAAAGTAAAGAAACAAAACAATATTTGACAGCCATTTAAAGTAAAGAAACAAAACAATATTTGACAGCCATTTAAAGAAACAAAACAATATTTGACAGCCATTTAAAGTAAAGAAACAAAACAATATTTGACAGCCATTTAAAGTAAAGAAACAAAACAATATTTGACAGCCATTTTAAAGTAAAGAAACAAAACAATATTTGACAGCCATTTAAAGTAAAGAAACAAAACAATATTTGACAGCCATTTAAAGTAAGAAACAAAACAATATTTGACAGCCATTTAAAGAAACAAAACAATATTTGACAGCCATTTAAAGTAAAGAAACAAAACAATATTTGACAGCCATTTAAAGTAAAGAAACAAAACAATATTTGACAGCCATTTAAAGTAAAGAAACAAAACAATATTTGACAGCCATTTAAAGTAAAGAAACAAAACAATATTTGACAGCCATTTAAAGTAAAGAAACAAAACAATATTTGACAGCCATTTAAAGTAAAGAAACAAAACAATATTTGACAGCCATTTAAAGAAACAAAACAATATTTGACAGCCATTTAAAGAAACAAAACAAGATTTGACAGCCATTTAAAGAAACAAAACAAGATTTGACAGCCATTTAAAGAAAGAAAACAATATTTGACAGCTATTTAAAGTAAAGAAACAAAACAACATTTGACAGCCATTTAAAGAAACAAAACAAGATTTGACAGCCATTTAAAGAAAGAAAACAATATTTGACAGTCATTTAAAGAAACAAAACAATATTTGACAGCCATTTAAAGTAAAGAAACAAAACAATATTTGACAGCCATTTAAAGTAAAGAAACAAAACAACATTTGACAGCCATTTAAAGTAACAAAACAACATTTGACAGCCATTTAAAGAAACAAAACAATATTTGACAGCCATTTAAAGTAAAGAAACAAAACAATATTTGACAGCCATTTAAAGAAACAAAACAACATTTGACAGCCATTTAAAGAAACAAAACAACATTTGACAGCCATTTAAAGAAACAAAACAATATTTGACAGCCATTTAAAGTAAAGAAACAAAACAATATTTGACAGCCATTTAAAGTAAAGAAACAAAACAATATTTGACAGCCATTTAAAGTAAAGAAACAAAACAATATTTGACAGCCATTTAAAGAAACAAAACAATATTTGAAGGTTTTTAAAAAACAAAAAAACATTTGGCAGCCATTTAAAGTAAAGAAACAAAACAATATTTGACAGCCATTTAAAGTAAAGAAACAAAACAATATTTGACAGCCATTTAAAGTAAAGAAACAAAACAAGATTTGACAGCCGTTTAAAGTAAAGAAACAAAACAATATTTGACAGCCATTTAAAGTAAAGAAACAAAACAATATTTGACAGCAATATTTGACAAGAAACAAAAACAAGATTTGACAGCCATTTAAAGTAAAGAAACAAAACAATATTTGACAGCCATTTAAAGAAACAAAACAATATTTGACAGCCATTTAAAGTAAAGAAACAAAACAATATTTGACAGCCATTAAAGTAAAGAAAACAAAACAATATTTGACAGCCATTTAAAGTAAAGAAACAAAACAATATTTGACAGCCATTTAAAGTAAAGAAACAAAACAACATTTGACAGCCATTTAAAGTAAAGAAACAAAACAATATTTGACAGCCATTTAAAGTAAAGAAACAAAACAATATTTGACAGCCCATTTAAAGAAACAAAACAATATTTGACAGCCATTTAAAGTAAAGAAACAAAACAATATTTGACAGCCATTTTAAAGTAAAGAAAGAAAAACAAAACAATATTTGACAGCCATTTAAAGAAAAAACAAAAACAATATTTGACAGCCATTTAAAGTAAAACAAAACAATATTTGACAGCCATTTAAAGTAAAGAAACAAAACAATATTTGACAGCCATTTAAAGTAAAGAAACAAAACAATATTTGACAGCCATTTAAAGAAACAAAACAATATTTGACAGCCATTTAAAGTAAAGAAACAAAACAATATTTGACAGCCATTTAAAGTAAAGAAACAAAACAATATTTGACAGCCATTTAAAGTAAAGAAACAAAACAATATTTGACAGCCATTTAAAGTAAAGAAACAAAACAATATTTGACAGCCATTTAAAGTAAAGAAACAAAACAATATTTGACAGCCATTTAAAGAAACAAAACAATATTTGACAGCCATTTAAAGTAAAGAAACAAAACAATATTTGACAGCCATTTAAAGTAAAGAAACAAAACAATATTTGACAGCCATTTAAAGTAAAGAAACAAAACAATATTTGACAGCCATTTAAAGAAACAAAACAATATTTGACAGCCATTAAAGTAAAGAAACAAAACAATATTTGACAGCCATTTAAAGTAAAGAAAACAAAACAATATTTGACAGCCATTTAAAAAAGAAACAAAACAATATTTGACAGCCATTTAAAGTAAAGAAACAAAACAATATTTGACAGCCATTTAAAGTAAAGAAACAAAACAATATTTGACAGCCATTTAAAGTAAAGAAACAAAACAATATTTGACAGCCATTTAAAGTAAAGAAACAAAACAATATTTGACAGCCATTTAAAGTAAAGAAACAAAACAATATTTGACAGCCATTTAAAGAAACAAAACAATATTTGACAGCCATTTAAAGTAAAGAAACAAAACAATATTTGACAGCCATTTAAAGTAAAGAAACAAAACAATATTTGACAGCCATTTAAAGTAAAGAAACAAAAATTTGAAGCCATTTAATGTAAAGAAAACAAAACAATATTTGACAGCCATTTAAAGTAAAGAAACAAAACAATATTTGACAGCCATTTAAAGAAACAAAACAATATTTGACAGCCATTTAAAGAAACAAAACAACATTTGACAGCCATTTAAAGTAAAGAAACAAAACAATATTTGACAGCCATTTAAAGAAACAAAACAATATTTGACAGCCATTTAAAGTAAAGAAACAAAACAATATTTGACAGCCATTTAAAGTAAAGAAACAAAACAATATTTGACAGCCATTTAAAGTAAAGAAACAAAACAATATTTGACAGCCATTTAAAGTAAAGAAACAAAACAATATTTGACAGCCATTTAAAGAAACAAAACAATATTTGACAGCCATTTAAAGAAACAAAACAATATTTGACAGCCATTTAAAGTAAAGAAACAAAACAATATTTGACAGCCATTTAAAGTAAAGAAACAAAACAATATTTGACAGCCATTTAAAGAAACAAAACAATATTTGACAGCCATTTAAAGTAAAGAAACAAAACAATATTTGACAGCCATTTAAAGTAAAGAAACAAAACAACATTTGACAGCCATTTAAAGTAAAGAAACAAAACAATATTTGACAGCCATTTAAAGTAAAGAAACAAAACAATATTTGACAGCCATTTAAAGAAAGTAAAGAAACAGCCATTTAAAAAAAAACAAAACATTTGACAGCCATTTAAAGTAAAGAAACAAAACAATATTTGACAGCCATTTAAAGTAAAGAAACAAAACAATATTTGACAGCCATTTAAAGTAAAGAAACAAAACAATATTGACAGCCATTTAAAGTAAAGAAACAAAACAATATTTGACAGCCATTTAAGAAATTTGAAAAAACAATATTTGACAGCCATTTAAAGTAAAGAAACAAAACAATATTTGACAGCCATTTAATTTAAAGAAACAAAACAATATTTGACAGCCATTTAAAGTAAAGAAACAAAACAATATTTGACAGCCATTTAAAGTAAAGAAACAAAACAACATTTGACAGCCATTTAAAGTAAAGAAACAAAACAATATTTGACAGCCATTTAAAGTAAAGAAACAAAACAATATTTGACAGCCATTTAAAGTAAAGAAACAAAACAATATTTGACAGTCATTTAAAGTAAAGAAAGAAAAAACAATATTTGACAGCCATTTAAAGTAAAGAAACAAAACAATATTTGACAGCCATTTAAAGTAAAGAAACAAAACAATATTTGACAGTCATTTAAAGTAAAAACAAAACAATATTTGACAGCCATTTAAAGTAAAGAAAAACACAAAACATATTTGACAGCCATTTAAAGTAAAGAAACAAAACAACATTTGACAGCCATTTAAAGTAAAGAAACAAAACAACATTTGACAGCCATTTAAAGTAAAGAAACAAAACAACATTTGACAGCCATTTAAAGTAAAGAAACTAAAAAACATTTGACAGCCATTTAAAGTAAAGAAACAAAACAATATTTGACAGCCATTTAAAGAAACAAAACAATATTTGACAGCCATTTAAAGTAAAGAAACAAAACAATATTTGACAGCCATTTAAAGAAACAAAACAAGATTTGACAGCCATTTAAAGAAACAAAACAAGATTTGACAGCCATTTAAAGAAAGAAAACAATATTTGACAGCCATTTAAAGTAAAGAAACAAAACAAGATTTGACAGCCATTTAAAGAAACTAAACAAGATTTGACAGCCATTTAAAGAAACAAAACAATATTGTGACAAAACTACAGTTTCTTTCCTCTTAACTAATCCTTTACAGTCGCAATATTATCAATTTCCTAATTAAAATGGTGACAAAAATCTGCACACTGTCTAGATATGCAAATTGCCTAACTTGTTTTAGGGCCGAAACATTCAGTTGTATATCGAGTTGACTAGGTATCCTATGACTTACATTGTTTTAGAGCGGACAGCACTGATCTTCAATTTTAAGGTTTATTACCTATAAAACACAATATTTTAAGTAAAATAACCAAAAACAAAATGTAAAATATTATTAACAGCATACATTATATATAACAACAAAAAAACACATTGAACTTTCTTTATTTGCCTTTTTCTTTCTGCCATACATACGAACGAAATATTTTAATGTTATTCTGCACCACTACAACCCCCCCCCCCCCTCCCAAAAAAACACACTTTCTGACACACACATACTTAAAGACGTTATCTTCATCTTGACCCCCCCCCCCCCCTTCTGACACCCAAACATATTACCTTCATTCTGCACCGCCTCAGCAACTTTGCGCAAAGTCTGCAGCTCAGCTTTCAGTTCTGCATTCTGCATCTTCAGCTGTTCAGCCTCGACGCCAACAGCCAGATTTTGGCCACTTTTGGATTTATCATTTCTGGAAGACCGACCACCTGTTGCCAGACAATGAACTCATCAGATATGGACACTAGCTGGGGGGTCAGGTGATGTTTAGACTATCTCACAAGACAATGAACTCATCAGATATGGGCACTAGAAGGGAAGTCAGGTGATGTTCAGACTATCTCACAAGACAACAAACTATCTCACAAGACAATGAACTCATCAGATCTATATGGGCTCTAGCTGAGGGGTCAGGTGATGATCAGACTATCTAAAAAGACAACAAACTATCTCACAAGACAATGAACTCATCAGATCTATATGGGCTCTAGTTGGGGGGTCAGGTGATGTTCAGACTATCTAACAAGACAACAAACTATCTCACAAGACAATGAACTCATCAGATCTACATGGGCTCTAGCTGGGGGGGGGGGGGGGGGGCCAGGTGATGTTCAGACTATCTCACAAGACAACAAACTATCTCACAAGACAATGTACTCAGATCTACATGGGCACTAGCTGGGGGGTCAGGTGATGTTCAGACTATCTCACAAGACAACAAACTATCTCACAAGACAATGAACTCATCAGATCTACATGGGCTCTAGCTGGGGGGGGGGGGGGGGGGGGGTCAGGTGATGTTCAGACTATCTCACAAGACAACAAACTATCTCACAAGACAATGAACCCATCAGATCTACATGGGCTCTAGCTGGGGGGGGGGGGGGGGGAGGGGGGGGGGTCAGGTGATGTTCAGACTATCTCACAAGACAACAAACTATCTCACAAGACAATGAACTCAGCAGATCTACATGGGCTCTAGCTGGGGGGGGGGGGGGGGGGGGGGGGGGGGGTCAGGTGATGTTCAGACTATCTCACAAGACAACAAACTATCTCACAAGACAATGAACTCAGCAGATCTACATGGGCACCAGCTGGCGGGTCAGGTGATGTTCAGACTATCTTACAAGACAGCCTCGTGTACAAGCATTGATTATTATTATCATTACAAAAACTACTGATATTATTTTTACTACTTATATTACAACAAATACTATTACTTGGTATATGTCTGCTCTGATATAGACCTTGTTTAGATTCAAACAATTTTGCTTAGTATACAGCCTCTGTTTGGAATGCAAGTCACATGTTTGAACCTGTATGAGTCAAAATAAGTCACAACACCATGCGCCATCTTTAAAAAAAATAGAAGTACTGCCCTGACAATGCCAGAAATAGCAACATCTGCAATAAGCGCATGACGTCACATTTCTGACATATCCTGCGGAGAAGGCAGAAGAAAAGTTCCTTGGACAGAATTTTAGTAAAAGTCAAACCTGGTGAGCCTCAACCAGGTCCAAGTAGAGAAACAAGACAGAAAAGTGTGTGAACGATTAAGAGGGGGGGAGAGAAAGAGTACCAGAATATCAGACTCCTGGTTTTGTTAGAAGGGGACTCTCCTGTCAAACAGTAACTTCTGCTCGACATCTCTTTTCAGCACCATTTTAGCAGCCGCATTTTAGATTGTTCTTGAAAAGGCCAGTTAAGGTAAAATTTGCATTTATTTCATCACACTGCTTTTTTATTTATGTATTTTAGTTTTAGGCATCCCTGTATATGTTCCGGGGCCCCACTGTGGGGAAAACAAAAATAGACCCCCCCCCCCCTCTCCCCGCTCCCACAAGCAATATTGTGGAAGTCAACTAATTAAAGACATCCTTCAAAGTCAGAGTGCACCTTCCAGAGAGGCAAGGAACCAACAGCCTGCATACAGATAAACTAGATCTGTAAAAAAGATGTGCACACAACATTCAGCTTCTGGAAAAAGACTAAAGTCCGTAGGTGGATGAACAACCAGAACTTTCCGCCAGAGATTACACCTGATGAACGTCAAGAAGGAGCATTAGCCAGTACCTAAATTATTTTTTTCCAACCCCCATCAATGTATAATATGTCAGTAACAATAGAATATTTTTTCTCCATGGGATCGAAATAATCATCCTCCCTTTACTTCTTATGGAACAATTCGTTTAGTATAAGCCCATGAATCTGAAACGGAAGTGTGACTCCTGAGGTAACATTCTATTGCTAGGACAACAGTTGGCTATTACCACATGTGGCAGGGTAATCATACAGTCTGCCACAAGCTCCAAAAGTTGTCAGTTTGCACCATGGTTTGGTTAACAAATGCAAATCTGAATGGATATACATGGGGGTCACTGTCGGAGCTGTGGAACACTCTCAGCAGAACTAAACCTGATAAGAGAAAACCCAGTGCCATGTAGCCAGTCTTCTTATTCTTTTTCTCTTCCTTCAGTTACCCTAGCGAAAGGCGGGAGGGGGGAGGGGGGAGTAAGGATCATCTGTGTACTTTTTGAAATGTGCTGTACAAGTTTATCTTCATTTTTTTTCAGATTGTTCTTGGTGCCATCATTCCATCTTGTGCATGCTCTCCTACTATCGCTGTTGCTTAATCTCCTTCTGCGACTGCACCTCCTCCCCTTTCCTGGTTTTCTTTTGCTTCTTCTCTCTTCTGCGGATACTATTCCTTTTCCTGTTATTCTTCCTCTTCACATTCTGCACCGCCACTGCAAGCATGTCCTATCACCACATATTTCCTTCACTTATCATCTTGTTTTAGTGTTCAGTATTACTCTTGTGTTCCATCAAGTATTAGTCTTCCATCAAATCTAGCTCTTCCATCTTGTGTTTTATCACGTATTACACTTTGATCAAATCTAGCTCTTCCATCTTGTTTTATCACGTATTACACTTTGATCAAATCTAGCTTTTCCATCTTGTGTTTTATCATGTATTACACTTTGATCAAATCTAGCTCTTCCATCTTGTGTTTTATCACGTATTACACTTTGATCAAATCTAGCTTTTCCATCTTGTGTTTTATCATGTATTACACTTCCATCAAATCTAGCTCTTCCATCAAATGGTAACTTATATTAAGCATGACTCTTCCATCAAATGGTAACTTATATTAAGCATGACTCTTCCGTCAAATGTTACCTTATATTAAGCATGACTCTTCCATCAAATGGTACCTTATATTAAGCATGACTCTTCCATCAAATGGTACCTTATATTAAGCATGACTCTTCCATCAAATGGTAACTTATATTAAGCATGACTCTTCTATCAAATGGTACCTTATATTAAGCATGACTCTTCCATCAAATGGTACCTTATATTAAGCATGACTCTTCCATCAAATGGTACCTTATATTAAGCATGACTCTTCCATCAAATGGTACCTTATATTAAGCATGACTCTTCTATCAAATGGTACCTTATATTAAGCATGACTCTTCCATCAAATGGTACCTTATATTAAGCATGACTCTTCCATCAAATGGTACCTTATATTAAGCATGACTCTTCCATCAAATGGTACCTTATATTAAGCATGACTCTTCCATCAAATGGTACCTTATATTAAGCATGACTCTTCCATCAAATGGTACCTTATATTAAGCATGACTCTTCCATCAAATGGTACCTTATATTAAGCATGACTCTTCCATCAAATGGTACCTTATATTAAGCATGACTCTTCTATCAAATGGTACCTTATATTAAGCATGACTCTTCCATCAAATGGTACCTTATATTAAGCATGACTCTTCCATCAAATGTTACCTTATATTAAGCATGACTCTTCCATCAAATGGTACCTTATATTAAGCATGACTCTTCCATCAAATGGTAACTTATATTAAGCATGACTCTTCTATCAAATGGTACCTTATATTAAGCATGACTCTTCTATCAAATGGTACCTTATATTAAGCATGACTCTTCCATCAAATGGTACCTTATATTAAGCATGACTCTTCCATCAAATGGTACCTTATATTAAGCATGACTCTTCCATCAAATGGTACCTTATATTAAGCATGACTTCCATCAAATGGTAACTTATATTAAGCATGACTCTTCTATCAAATGGTACCTTATATTAAGCATGACTCTTCCATCAAATGGTAACTTATATTAAGCATGACTCTTCTATCAAATGGTACCTTATATTAAGCATGACTCTTCCATCAAATGGTACCTTATATTAAGCATGACTCTTCCATCAAATGGTACCTTATATTAAGCATGACTCTTCCATCAAATGGTACCTTATATTAAGCATGACTCTTCCATCAAATGGTACCTTATATTAAGCATGACTCTTCCATCAAATGGTACCTTATATTAAGCATGACTCTTCCATCAAATGGTACCTTATATTAAGCATGACTCTTCCATCAAATGGTAACTTATATTAAGCATCAAATCATGTTATAGCTTGAACATCAGGAAAGACACTACCAGCAAAAGCAAAAGAAATCTATTCAAAACACTACGTACAAAATCAAATAAGCAAAAGATAATCAAGCTGAAAACAAATGTAGCCATTTACGTAGTTGTAATTGTCTGACTAGTACAGATTTGAAAACACAGATGATCTTCCATGCTATGATACTGAACAGTTCAAAAATGGTGAAAATATGGGGGTGACTGCAGTCAAGCTAATACAAGGAATTCCAGATAAATTTGACTAAAAAGCTCAACAAAATGTTGACGTTATGTTGTTTTGTGCCCGTTTTTCTGCTTCCACGTTGTGTTGTTTTGTGCCCGTTTTTCTGCTTCCCCATTTTGTTGAGCTTTTTAGTCAAATTTCTCTGGAATTACTGAACAGTTCAGCATCTGCTTTCTCGGTCTCCCTCTGCCTCTTTCCCCCTCCAACTTTTCTACCGTCACAATGTACTCCAGTTTTCTCACTCCCTTCTCATGACATGACCAAGAATGTAGATTGTCTCTTTCTGATGTAGGCAATCAGTTCTCTTTGTAAGTCAGTTAATTTCTAAACATCTTCATTAATCTTGTTATCTGTCACTGATAAATATCACCTACAAGGCTGGCACTCACCGAATAAACAGCCCAACATCTCACTTCAGCGCAGCAGTGATGCCTGATGGATATGTGTAATGTTTATGTGGTTACTATTGATAAAACATAGGGTTTGTTGGGAGCTGCCACACCAAAGTGGATAGACACTTGCTTGCCAACCTGAAGATCTTGGGTTCAGATCCACAACAGGACAGATTTTTTTTCAAAACTGACCTTGGTTTCCAAGCTGACCTATCAAAAAATGGGTACCAGCTCATGTGCTGGGAAGTAAAGGCAGCCAGCATGATGTTGTCCACAGCATCCACCATGTGCCAGTTAGTTTATAAAAAAAGTAGTCAATTATCATACGCCCACTGGCTTTAAACGGGTCCTTACATTTTACTTTAGACTGTGTTATTTCTCCAGTAAGTTTTACTTTAGACTGTGTTATTTCTCCAGTAAGTTTTACTTTAGACTGTATGTTATTTCTCCAGTAAGTTTTACTTTAGACTGTATGTTATTTCTCCAGTAAGTTTTACTTTAGACTGTATGTTATTTCTCCAGTAAGTTTACTTTAGACTGTATGTTATTTCTCCAGTAAGTTTTACTTTAGACTATGTTATTTCTCCAGTAAGTTTTACTTTAGTCTGTATGTTATTTCTTCAGTAAGTTTTACTTTAGACTGTATGTTATTTCTCCAGTAAGTTTTACTTTAGACTGTATGTTATTTCTCCAGTAAGTTTTACTTTAGACTATGTTATTTCTCCAGTAAGTTTTACTTTAGTCTGTATGTTATTTCTCCAGTAAGTTTTACTTTAGTCTGTATGTTATTTCTCCAGTAAGTTTTACTTTAGACTATGTTATTTCACCAGTGAGTTTTACTTTAGACTATGTTATTTCTCCAGTATGTTTTACTTTAGTCTGTATGTTATTTCTCCAGTTAGTTTTACTTTAGTCTGTATGCTATTTCTCCAGTAAGTTTTACTTTAGACTGTGTTATTTCTCCTCTAAGTTTTAATTTAGACTATGTTATTTCTCCAGTATGTTTTACTCTAGACTGTATGTTATTTCTCCAGTATGTTTTACTTTAGTCTGTATGTTATTTCTCCAGTAAGTTTTACTTTAGACTATGTTATTTCTCCAGTATGTTTTACTTTAGTCTGTATGTTATTTTACCAGTATGTTTTACTTTAGACTATGTTATTTCTCCAGTATGTTTTACTCTAGACTGTATGTTATTTCTCCAGTATGTTTTACTTTAGTCTGTATGTTATTTCTCCAGTAAGTTTTACTTTAGACTATGTTATTTCTCCAGTATGTTTTACTTTAGTCTGTATGTTATTTCACCAGTATGTTTTACTTTAGACTATGTTATTTCTCCAGTATGTTTTACTCTAGACTGTATGTTATTTCTCCAGTATGTTTTACTTTAGTCTGTATGTTATTTCTCCAGTAAGTTTTACTTTAGACTATGTTATTTCTCCAGTAAGTTTTAATTTAGACTATGTTATTTCTCCAGTATGTTTTACTCTAGACTGTATGTTATTTCTCCAGTATGTTTTACTTTAGACTGTATGTTATTTCACCAGTATGTTTTACTTTAGTCTGTATGTTATCTCTCCAGTTAGTTTTACTTTAGTCTGTATGCTATTTCTCCAGCAAGTTTTACTTTAGTCTGTATGTTATTTCCCCAGTATGTTTTACTTGAGACTGTATGTTATTTTGTCAGTATGCCTCGCTGGCATTTAAACAAGAGTGATTCAATTTCTTTCACTGTTTACTTGTCGGCATCTGTGGCTTAGGCGTTTCGAATGCGCTTTGTAATGCCGGGGTGCCAAGTTCGATCCCTGCTGCGGGCCTTGCACTGGTTTCGACAATTTTATCAAAAAGTCAACTGTCCAGAAAGCAATGGCAAACTACTGGATGTAAATTTGCCTGAAACAACAATAACAGCCAAAAAATGCTAGGGTTAGTTCCGCAACATCCTGTAAAGGATTGGCAACTAACGTTTTTACAGTTTACTGTTATACTTTCACAAATTATATTCATTGTGAAGTTTTTCCCTGTATAATTAAAATTTTACGTTTGATTATTTCTGTTTAGCCAGGAAAGAATTTAGACAAATCTCTACACAAATTTTCATACTTAAACTATGCAAATGCTCCCATCCATGACCTCCTTGGCTGACTGCAAGTATTCTCCCGAGGAAACGAATCTCTGCATCGCTAAGTTGCATTCTGGGTGTTTCATCAACTTCACCGGCCTTGACACTATGCCTGACCTCTGTACCAGCGGATACATCTAAAGCAGGTGCCGGCTGGCGACAGTTCCGCACCAACTGCTCAGAAACATGGGCAAGGTTCGGGGATCGCTCAGGTAATTTAACATTGTCTTCGGGGCTGTCTAAAATTGCAGAACACAGACAAAATTAACGGGAGAAAACATGCAAAGAAAAAAGGTAAAAACACTGCAAGCAAAATATATTCATAATGGGTTAGTAAACAACTGCTTGATTATTGGTAAATTTATATGTAAATAACAATAACAACAACAAAACAAAAGAAGCAAAAAAAAAATTAAATGTAATGAAGGGATAAATAATCTATAATTTTCAGGCTAAAAATCTTTAAAAAAAATTGTAAATAATCTATACTGAAAAAAAAAAAATCATTATTTTCAAAGGATTAGAAGAAAAAGATCAGGTCCAGGATAACATGATGTGTGGTGCAGTGGTTAGCACAGTGGACTACCAATGTTAAGTTCTGTAGCTAACACACAACAGTCGCAAGTGTCTGTGCAGGCTGATACTGTTTTGTGACATGAAACTAATTCTTCTCATAGTCTATGCTATGTCGAATCTGTCACCATGTACGCCCACTGTCAGTTATCTCTCTTCCAGTTTGTCTCATGTAATTTTTAAAACATGCATTAAATAAAATATTAATAAATATGAAAGTTGGAATAAATGCTGGGCAACGACTCAAGTCTATGCCACAAGTTGATATGTACGTAGGTTGCTATATGGACACAAAGCATATAACTGATGAATTTGCAAGAATATATGAAGTCACTATCACTCACTAATAGTAAACATAAAGTTTGGCAGGCTTTTAAAGAAACAAAACAATGTATAAAATAAATAGATTTGCTACACTAAATATATGCACAAACTAATTTATAAGCTATGGTTACATGGAGACTATATGTAGAACAGAATGTCACTGATAATTTGTACCAAAAAAAGGACATTAATTAGCAGCAAAAAAATAATCTAAAAACAATTAAAATACATGACATGGATTTGGAATTTCAAAAACACACACACACACACACTACATTCAATGTTTATACTCTACCTGGACGCGTTGATCCTCGACCACTATCTGGCAAATGACTGGAGCCTAACTTATTGTACGAGGAACTGACCACTTGTCTTTCACTGCGGGTCATCTGCAGGATAAAACATACAACAGACAAGATGAACCTCACGACTGTGTTCATTGTCTCAAGACTCACTGGTAAAGAAACACGGTGATTATATTTTTGATCCTTTTCTGAGAAGATGGGAACTTGAGGACACTGACAAAAATGTAAGATATTAGAGACAGAAGTGACCAGAGGGAGACATTACTGGATGAGCTTGGAGACAGAAGTGACCAGAGGGAGACATTACTGGATGAGCTTGGAGACAGAAGTGACCAGAGGGAGAAATTACTGGATGAGCTTGGAGACAGAAGTGACCAGAGGGAGACATTACTGGATGAGCTTGGAGACAGAAGTGACCAGAGGGAGAAATTACTGGATGAGCTTGGAGACAGAAGTGACCAGAGGGAGAAATTACTGGATGAGCTTGGAGACAGAAGTGACCAGAGGGAGAAATTACTGGATGAGCTTGGAGACAGAAGTGACCAGAGGGAGAAATTACTGGATGAGCTTGGAGACAGAAGTGACCAGAGGGAGAAATTACTGGATGAGCTTGGAGACAGAAGTGACCAGAGGGAGACATTACTGGATGAGCTTGGAGACAGAAGTGACCAGAGGGAGACATTACTGGATGAGCTTGGAGACAGAAGTGACCAGACGGAGACATTACTGGATGAGCTTGGAGACAGGAAAATTATCAACAGACAAATTCATCAAGATTACATCAGAGAACTAAAACCAACTGTTGTGGAGGAATACAGCTGCCTGGTCCCCACAGCCAGGCAAACAATATTATAAAAAACTTATGCATTATTAATTTGTGTCCCAGTCACCAATTATATTCTCTATAATTTTAATTATCAGAACTCCTATTTCTTAGAAAGTTGTTAGTTAACCTACATCTGTCCAACAATGATTATTATAAACCATTTCCACAAGGTCCCATTTTGTGGGAAGAAAAGGACAGACCTATTGCCCCTCAGCAACCACATTGTAGGAGGCAACAGATTAAGGATCTGCAGAACTTGAATATGTTAGGCCGAATGGAGTAGATATCTCAACCTAGTTTCAGACTGCATTGCAATGTATCAGATGCCCTTTATGACAAATCCAGACACCCCCCCCCCCCCCCAAAAAAAAAGATTTAATCATTTCCAAACTAGTCACATATCAATGGCTAGCAGACAGCAACAGCCTAGGACAGTGGTCGGCAAACTCTTTAGTCGAAAGAGCCAAAAATCAGCAGCTAGACAACTACAATTTTTTTGACAGGCAAATTTCTTTTCAAGAACCTGTCAACAACCATAATTTTCTGAGTCAAAACCAATTTGTGGACCAATGGCCGAGCTTCACTCAGATCGCTAAAGAGCCGCATGCGGCTCGTGAGCCACGATTTGTCCACCATTGGCCTAGGATATAAAAAGTCACAAGTATAGGAAAAACACAGGTATCAATTTCAGGTATGATGTATGTGTGTAGAGAGAGAGAAAGAGAGAGAGAGAGAGAGAGAGAGAGAGAGAGAAAGAGGGGGGGGGGGGGGGGGGGGGGGGGGGTAAATACCTGGGCACTGAAATATCTTTTGTTTTTTCAGGTTGTTGCTATCTGTTGCCATTTTAGATCTATTATTGTATTTGTTATTATGAAGACAATTTGCTCACTAACACTATGAGGGCCATTAACTTTCAGTCCCAGAAAGTTTAGCAGGGTATCCTGGTTTTTTCTGTAAAGCGCACGGGGAAGAAGGGTGGGGGGGGGGGGGGGGGGGGGGGGGGGTAGGTAGCTACTATAAAAAAAAAACAATTACAACCTATAACTAGTCAAAACACACATTTGAAGTGACCATGGGGAAAGTCAAATTTCTTAATACATTCTGGCCAAATCTCAAAGTCAATAGAATTTCCTCAGAAAGGTGTCTGTCTCATTGAGTTTTTGCATACTGGTCATTCTGGCAACATAAAAATTAAATTCAGAAATAACCTAATGGGGCATAACCATGAACAAAAGTGAAAGAAAACAAGAGTTATTTTTCATGGCAAATAAATCTTGACAAGATGTGATCAGTGCCTAACATTTACAGGAAACAAATGTACTCAGCATGTGAATTCTACATCATTTTATAACTCTGAACTATCTGAATTTGTGTAATTTTTGTTGTTGCCTTTTAATAATCGCATATACTCCCGTGTGGGTTCCGGGGCCCCATTGTGGGGAAAACAAGAAAAGCATGTCGTAAGAGTCGACTAATTGGGAGCTTCCTTTGAAGTCGGAGTGCTTCTGCCGGAGAGGCAAGGAACCAACAGTATGTATTCAAGAGAATGAGATCTGTAAAACTGATGCACACGCAACACTCAGGTTCTGGAGCAGGACTGCAGTTCAGTAGTGGACGATCAACCAGAACTTTCCGCGAGAGTGTACAGCTGGTGAACGTGAAGAAGAAGAAGATAATCGCATATCTTGTGCAAACGTAAACAGTCTTGTGACTTACTGTTTCACTGACTTCTGCTGGCAAATCATGAATTCTTTTCATCTCGGCGTGCATATTTTTCTGAGTGCCTGTCAACGATTTGTCATCCATTTCATTTTTAGTGCTTGATTTCTGCAGAAAATATTTAGAGAATAAAACCAGTGAAATAATCTTGGACCGTAAAACAAAGAAGAATCTAAAGATGGATCTGCCTGCTTCAAAACTGGATCGTTGTTGAAATTGTACTTCAGTTATAAAGGATTCACTTATTTGCTTCATTTATGTAATTGTTACTGTAGTATGCACCTGACGGGATTCAGCGAAATATGCCACGCAATAAATTGTGCAACCTATTGTTTGTGTCTTCTTTGTTCAAATAAAACAGCTGTTCCTCTTTGTCTCATTGAATAACAACGAGTGCTGGAACAGGGGCAATAACCAGGGATAAATACATTCACTATATAACTTCAGGAGCCACCATGATGTAGCAGTTAGATGCTTGTCTGCAGATCCGAAGGTTGGGTTAAAATCCAAACAGATCTGGGCTTTTCCCCTAAATGACCTTGGCTCCTACGTCAACCCAGCTTAACTGGGTACCAGGTAAAGTTCTGGGAAGTAAAGGAGACCAGCAAGACGTTATACATCTTATTTCATCTAACCCTGTGTCTTCTTCTAAGAGCATTTGTCCACAAGTGGTCTTCAGAATATCTCCTTTTTCCAGTACAAGCGTTCCTGTAACTATTGCTTTTGCAGCTAGAAAAAACCGCTCCTTTATTTTCTCACATGGATTTCTGTATTCAAAATGGCAAACAGCAGCTGTGTTATTTTTCGATGGCTGTAATTTCTCTCGGATTGTTCTAGTCCATTACTATGAGCTGCTATTTTGAGCATATTGCCAGTGCAGGATACTATGTGTTTTTAATGGGAGCAGCATGTATTGTGGTTGGACTATCTCAGAGTGGGATAATAACTGACAGACTTGGCAGCCTCGACTACACTGCCTTTGCAATGTTTTGAATGCGGCAGTACACTTTCCGGGAAGATAGAATCTCAATAAAAGCTGTCCCCAGAAAAAGAATGTTTCAACCCTTTTTGTTCTGGTAGTGAGGAATCGACACATACGGTTACCTCAATGGTCTGGCCATTCATCGCACTCCGGCATATCCCTGTGAGTCCCTCTAATGCTGACATGCTGACGCCTGGTATCCACTTGTGTCACATTTGTCAATTCTGAACCTTCCACTGTATTGACTGAGAATCAGTCACTATAATTCCTTTGGTTACTCTATTTTCTGCCATCCCTTTAATTTCTGCTACCTGCTTCAGAGCTGCAGTGACTGCCGACACCCCCACTCTCATTCTTAAGTTGAAGAAAAAAAAAAGCACCATTTTGTTTTGCAACAATCTTTCAATTCTCTCTTGCTGAAAATATCCAGCCAGATCTTTCAGATATGATCAGTCACCAGTAACCCGGAGACCCACAATGTTATGGGACTACAGATACATGGGATGCACAAGGTAATGGTCTACCAGGACCTGGTTCGCCCAGAAACAGTCTCTCAACCAGCAGCCTGGCCAGTGTAGCAAAGGATCAATGTTGCCATTTTTTTTCAAAATTTCCTCTCAAGGAATACAGTCTAGAGGATGAACACCTCAAGGATGAGAATTAAACAGGCCCAAAGGCAGGAAATGACATTCAAGTGTAAAACAGTAATACTGGAGCACCCTATGTTTAGTAAGTTAACCTATAGTTAGAGTTGGGAGGGTTTTTATTTTACCCCAGTCCTAATGTTTCTTTCAAAGTCAAAACACATCTGCCTGAGAGGCAAGGAACCAGCAGTTGGCTCACAAATAAACCAAATTTGCAAAACAGATGTGCATGCAACATTCATGTCCTGGAACAAGTCAAAAGTCCAGAATAACTAGGACTTTCTGTTTACTGCCAGTGTAGGCGAAGAAGAAGATTCATAATTAAAACTGAGAGAAAATTAAAGTTTCATATTAGTTCGCCTAAAAATTATTCACATAATCTTTCAGTGAAATATTCACAGCTTCAAAATCCAACCAGTTTTAACAAGTCTATACAGCGTGTGGTTTGAAGGCCTATGTTGCATTCTGAAATAAAAAGCAAAAGAAGAAGAAGATACCATATGTAGTGAGTCATTTTCTTCCCATTAATTTATGCCCGACAGATGACGTCAGTAATAAATGTAAGGGGGATGTTTTGACTGACTGAGATAACACGAGATTTATGTCTTGAGTTTCATGAGAGACATCTGAAAGTCAGGTTTTATGTGAAACATGATTGTTCACGTGAACCATGAAGGTTGACTGGCAGGCTTCGTGTGAAATGCGAATTATCACGGGCCAGACACGACTTTCAATGGTGGGGAATTCGTGAGAATGAAGTTATACAGAATATTCGAGAAAAAACATGACAGATCAGAGGGCTATATAATAGCGGAGAAAGGTTTAAGAGGCAGTCTCGTTTGGATCCAGGAACCAGTGCGCATGGACAGGAAGACGTGTGCAGTTTACGTGTGTTGAGCGGATGTGTTCCTATCCAACTTGGCGGAGAAGCTGGCAGACAAACCGTCTGCGGGCATGTTGGTTATTTCTGTTATAACAGCTGTGTGTTTCGTAGTGTAGGAAGATTGTGATTTCTGACAGAAGGTAATGAAAGTCTAGCATTTATTATTCCAATGATCATGTGTGCCTGGACAATAGTCTGTTTTCATGTGCCGGCTGAGTAAGCCGCGAGCAGGAAATTAAAGTACTGAACAGTATCGTGTTGTTGTTCCAATCGTCCATTTTCTGCTCGTCATGTGATGTGGGTACGTGAGCGTTGCGATGATGCGAGCCAGATAAAGATAGAAAAGAAAGACATCGCACCATATTACATATATTATGTTTCCAGTCAAAAAAACTTTGTAAACATTAACCCTTTCATAGTGAGAAGCCTCAAAGCCAACACTTCCTGTTGCACCCTATTCCCTAAATGTCACTTTTCTGACTTGTCTCTAGTGATCTGTCTAGGGTAGCCATAGTAAATGATACTGGCTGTTTTTTGGCCTGACCAACTGTTGAAGAGGTCATGATAACATCATTAACTACAAAGAGCATTTAAGTGGGTTTTCCTTTGAGCCAAACAGCTTCTTTAAAGCCAAATCGGCATTCAATTTTGCCACAGCCTCAGTGATAGAGGTTATGGGTTATCTGATACATTTACTGTTAAAATATGATTTCACCCTGTTCTTGCTTAATTGATTTCTCCCTTCATAAATCTTTATATATGTGTAAAACAAAAACATTTTAACATTTTAAATTAATTTATTAGTGACCAGTATTAAAGTGATCTTTAGATCCCCCCCCCCCCCCCAAAAAAAATGGAATTCCAACAGGGTCATCCCCCCCCCCCTCTTTTTTTTTTAAAACACTGCTAGTTGGGAGGGCTGAGTTAGGACTTACCTGTTTACCTTTCTTCATGGGTGTGGCGTAAACATAATTAATCATCTCCACCACAGGACTTTCTCTGCCCTGTACACCTTCGATGTCACCTGATTCACACAAACACAGTTATTACTTTTCACCATCAAGCAACTCGTTGTATGCCCCCCCCCCCCCCACTCTACACAAAGTATAGACCCAGGGCACTCCTCTTCTTCTCTAACATTAACTCATTCTCTACCAAATGTTACTTTGAATCCTTCAGTCTAATAGTTTCTCAGTTTCACTCATCAAGACTCAACAATTGTTCCTCTAAAGTACACATGCTGTGAAATCAAAATTATTATAGCAATAACTTTTATATTGCAAGAGTGCAATACTTAACTACATGGCTGCAGATGGAGTATAAAAGAACAACAATTTTCACCCAGCATGCATTGTTGTTTGGTGGTTTCTGCATTCAGCTACAAATCTTGTAATAAATGGCTTTGTTGATCCAAGTCTTTCCTCTGTTGCTTGATTGTCAGATATTTTATAATCACATGCACATTTTATTTGGTCATAATTACATATATTCTTAGTTTATAATTAACCGCTTCAATTGGCTTTAAAAAAAAAAAAAAAAGAAGCCAAAATGGCTCCAGTAGATTCTCCAAACTGAGATGAAGTAAAACACTTGACCTGTATTACATTCCAGTATGAATACAAGGCATTATGGGTAATGTCAATGAAACCTCAGAAATGACACAGATCGTCATGGGTTACCTCTCATGTCTTTCCAGTTAACAAACTGATTTCCCCTTCTGTATGTCAACATATGGTGGATTTCCACCTTGAAGCCAAGCTACGGTAATGGGCTTTGGTTACCAAACTGATTGCCCTTTCTGTATGTCAACATATGGTGGATTTCCACCTCGAAGCCAAGCTACGGTAATGGGCTTTGGTTACCAAACTGATTGCCCTTTCTGTATGTCAACATATGGTGTATTTCCACCTTGAAGCCAAGCTACGGTAATGGGCTTTGGTTACCAAACTGATTGCCCTTTCTGTATGTCAACATATGGTGGATTTCCACCCAGAAGCCAATGTAGGGTAATGTGCTTCAAACGACTACTGTCAGTCATGGCTGGAAATTCAGTCACAAAAATGAGCTTCTAAAACAGCAGTTAAGAGTTACCCTGTACAATGAAGGTAAACGTGATTCTATCGTGGGGTGAAAACTCACCCTTGTACAATGTTAAATCTTTATGCTACCAATGAGTTAGATTCAGCTGACAATGAAACACCTAAACTGTGAGGATGAAGAATAACCAATCCATTGGTTAACTGATACTGTCTAGTTACATGGTTCTGTCTAGTTAACCTCGTACTGTCTAGTTACATGGTTCTGTCTAGTTAACCTCGTACTGTCTAGTTACTTGGTTCAGTCTAGTTAACCTCGTACTGTCTAGTTACTTGGTTCTGTCTGATCAACTGGTACTGCCTAGTTAATTGGTTCTGTCTAGGTAGTGGGTTGTGTCTAGTTACCTGGTACTGTCTAATTATCTGGTTCTATCTAGTTACTTGGTACTGTCCGGTTACTTTGTGCTGTCTAGTTACTTCATTCTGTCCAGTTATCTAGTACTGTCAAGTTACTTGGTATTGTCTAATTACCTGGTTCTGCATAAACTCCAGAAGAACGAAACGTAGACGACGGACGCTCTGCCTCTTGTTGCACATGCTTTCCTCGTGCTGGCCAGGTGCCAAAACCAACTGTCTGATACCTGCAAAATGTGGAAATTAAAATCTGACACATCAAAACTTATTGCTCACATACTTGTAACATGCTACAACACATAACATTTCCAAGAAAGAATATACAATATACGTAAAAACATACAATATTTAATTATAGCCCCCGAATTATAAGCACAACCAAGCTATTAACTAAACACCTGCAACCCAGTGAAACTATGATCCCCAAGACAACCAAGCTATTAACTAAACACCTGCAACCCAGTGAAACTATGATCCCCAAGACAACCAAGCTATTAACTAAACACCTTCAACCCAGTGAAACTATGATCCCCAAGACAGCCAAGTTATTAACTAAACATCTGCAACCCAGTGAAACTATGATACCCAAGACAGCCAAGTTATTAACTAAACACCTGCAACCCAGTGAAACTATGATCCCCAAGACATCCAAGCTATTAACTAAACACCTGCAACCCAGTGAAACTATGATCCAGAGGACGTCCAAGCCATAATCTTTAAACATGCAACCCAATCTATAACCCACAAGACACCCATGTTATTAACAAAAACCCTGCAACATACCCAAGCTATAATCTTAAACCCCTTTTTTAATGTCGGATTACACTTGCCTGAGAGACAAGGAACCAATAACCTGCATACAGATAAACCAGATCTGTAATGTGGATGTACATGAAAAATTCAACCTCTGAAACAAGATTAAAGCTCAGAAATGGACGAACAACCAGAACTTTCCAGTTTATGGCCAGTAAGCACAAAGAAGAAGACAACCTTTGAACCTGCAGCACATTGAAGCTATAACTCCCCACAGCACATGTACGCTACAGGGGACCCCAGAAGGGAAGGAAAGAATAATCCCAGTAATTCCAGAGAGATTCAATGTCACAACATTCAGACAAGCCCAAATTAACTGTCACTCTCCTCAACAGCCAGCAAAGAGTCTTCATTCCAACGGCACCGGCTATCAATCGTGTAACTACTTATCTTGCTTTTACTCCAGTCTCAAATGGCATGCAAAGCCCAAAGACACTCCCCGCTGCATCATTCTCTCCAGGTTCAATATCTTCCAATTTATTTTACAGTTCATCCCACAAGCCAGAGATCACATATGCCTTGTGCAGTGGCAGTACAGCCAGCCAGTGGGGAATTTGCATCAGTCCAGCCAACCTATCTGCCTGCTTGTTCCCAAACATACCTACATAGCCGGGGCAAAATCTGCAGATGACTCTCACTATCTGTGGCCTCTGGATTGTTGCAACCCATTCAACACCACACAAATCTGACTCCATCTACCTGAGCATGCTCCATGAATCCCATATTATGAAAACATGAGCAGTGAGAAAGAATAGTAACACTAACATGTAACACTGTAACCTAACATGTAACACTGTAACCTAACATGTAACACTGTAACCTAACATGTAACACTGTAACCTAACATGTAACACTGTAACCTAATATGTAACCCTGTAACCTAACATGTAACACTGTAACCTAACATGTAACACTGTAACCTAACATGTAACACTGTAACCTTAGATGCATGGCATAAGAATCATTAGAGGTAACTAAGGAAAGGAAGGTCTGAGGCTGGCTGCTACACCAAGCAGAAATTGTCAGCTGCTAAATCCAGTCAGTCAGGAGCAAATTTCCTGTGTGAGTTCAAGGGCCTTATTTCTGGGGGGGGGGGGGGGGGGGGGGGGGGGGGGGGGGGGGGAGTTTTACCAAGAAAACCATGAAAATCAACTGATTAGGGATGTTCCCTTCAAAGTTGAAGTGCATCTGCCTGAGAGGTTACAAACCAACAGTCTGCATAAAAACAGGCATGATATGTAAAATGGACGTGTATGAAAAAACTCATGTTCTAGAACATAAGAAAAGTCCAGAGGTGGATGAACAACCAGAACTTTCTGCCGGAGTTTGCAGCCTGTGAAGGCGAAAAAGAAGAAAAAATCTACTGAGAGCTTAGTGCGTGTTGGCTAAGGGATTATGCTCCAGTGGATGTGGAAGCAGAAAAAAAGGAATAAGGGATCAAGACAGATAGGGAGAATCATGTCTACCCTGCATCGAGCATTTGCTGATAGTCATACAAGCTGCTCTCTGGTTCACTGAAGTCATCAGAAGGTGGCGCAGGCTGACGCTGGTTTCTTGCAGCAGTTGTTGATGTCCCTGGCTGAGCTGCTGCCCCAGAAGAAGGTGATGGAGCTGTCAATGCTGCCGGACTGGTGCCAGATATCGGCACTGCAGCAAAAACTGATGAAGGCAACAAAGCCCTGGCAACCTGACAGTACGAGAATTAAATTTATTCCCAGCTATACTAATAAATAAATGTGGATAAGATATTATTGTCTGTATTTATAAATATATAAAATATCTGAATATGTGTAATTACTAAGCCGTTCAGTTAAAAAAACACACACACACAAAAACTTCAGCTTCAAATGTTTTAGACTGTATGCAATCCTTCATTTTCTGTGATCATTTGTCTGTGGTAGTTTCTGTCTTTAAAATGGGAATATCTTCAGTTCGAGTCGACAGACAGGCTTCATTAAGCATTGCTGGATTACATATGTAAAAACCTATCTAGCTTGATGATTTCAAAGGTGTAAACCCACAACAAGCAAGCATACAAGCAAGATGCTGTCATGACAATTTGGAATAAAGTCGATGATTTGCCTGACCATATCATTTCGTTTTTGACGGGACAGTATCATTTTTTTAAAGGTAGTTTCAAGCCATCCCATCAATACTAAAAAAAAAAAAAAAAAAAAAAAAACCCATCAGTTGGGAACACTGACTTTCTTGAGTACTGACATGTCCCTGTGTAAGCAGAAGGATATGGTCAACCTTGTGAACAACAGATTAATAAATACAATCACGAATAGACGAGTATGGTCTGCAGAGATGGTACAGCTACAAACGACTAGAGGATTGGGTTGACACTCTACATGAGGAGAAAAGACAAGACAAAGATAAAAGTCAAACTGAAACTGCCAAAGGCAGGATTAGAATTGTTGTACTAACACATTGCTGGCTGTTGAAGATGAGTTACAGGGCTGTGCTGTCATGTCACTTCTTAATTTAAGTCAATACATAAAACTTGACTGACATATCTATGTAAGGAGATATCCGTAATGAAAGTGGTTCTTAAAAAAAAAATTCCTGACAATGTCAAAAGAAATTAGAGAATTCCATCACAGCTGTGGCTTCGAAGAAAGATAAATATCAATCATAAATAAGCACCATGAGTTTCCACCAAAGATCATTGGGTGCAACACTTTCAACAGCACACACAGAAAGAATTTTTTTTTGGTGTGTTTCAAGCCAGGCAAACGCGTATGTATACTCAGTGATTCAATGAGTATGATCCGGAGGGTTCAGGCAGGTTCAGTGCAAAGACAATGGCTTGAATCATTACAGAAGTCTACTGTGTGTGGAGTCACCTTTATTTTTGTTCCGGGACATGCAGGCGTCGATGGAAATGAAAGAGCTGACAGGTTGGCTAGATCCGCTATCACTACGGTCAGCCTATGGATCATGCTGATATTATCAATGCCCTCAGAGAAATATGAAGGATGGAGGACTTTGGTGGCAGTGAATCCACATCACTCGCCAGAATGGCAGACTTGGAAATTAAGATCGGCATAGCAAAAAACGAGACACACACCAGAAGACTTGTTAATCAACATAGAACTGGTACTATTAGCCATCGGACTTTGGGGTTCATACTGAGTGGAGGATCTGAGCACCTATAAACATGTCCGGAGTGGGTACTCCTGTCAAATCCGGACGAAGACTAAAAAGCCTTGGACGACTTAGTCAGAGTTCTCTCCCTTGGCCGCACTGCGAACAGTGATCGGAAAAGCCAACGAAACAAAGAAGACAGTCACGTCGATATCAGGGCTGCCAATGCTTGGTTGTTTCCCCCAGATCTGGTTTTTTTTCGACGCTGCAGGACAATTCTGGTTTTTTTTTGGGTGTGTTGTGTTTGTTGGTTTTTGCCGATTTGTATGCTTTAATGATCGATAAATTTGCGTGGTTAGGGGTAGGGGTTAGGGCTAGGGAGTAGGATTAGGATTAGGGTTAGCGGTAGGGTTAGGTTTAGCGTTAGATTTGACAATTTTGACGCCGGAGTTCCCTATAATCGCGCACAGTCCCATACACACACAAACAATCGAGGGCCTCTGGATGCTGGTCAAACGCACATTTCGCCAACGATTGGGGGCACCAGCCGCACGCTATTGGCGTCATATTTGGCAGAGTTTCAGTGGCGCCACTCCCACAAACATCAGATTGTCGGCCAGTATTTCGAAATCCTACGTCAAAATTTTCACATCTAACCCTAACCCTACCCCTAACTCTAACCCTACCTCTAACCCTACCCCTAACTCAAACCCAAACACTACGCATCCCTACACGCATCCGTATGATTATGATGACTACGCATCCCTTCACGATGCCTCACGCAACCGTACGCAGCCCTACACGCAACCGTATGATGATAGGTAAGTGTGTCGTTTGTTTCGTTGGCTTTTCCGATCACTGTTTGCAGTGCGGCCAAGGGAGAGAACTCTGACTAAGTCGTCCAAGGCTTTTTATTCTTCGTCCGGATTTGACAGGAGAGCCCCGGAGTGCAATGATGATAACCCAACTAACTAACACAGAAAGTATACAGATTAAAGACAAAAATCGACATTTAATAATCTAAATTATTTTAATTCTTTATTTTATTTTAAATATTAGAATTAATATTAATTATTATATTTATTTTATTAAAGTTAAGCACGTCTCAACGCGTTTTGTTTTGATTTGCAGTTTTGTTTGGGGATTTAAATTACAATTTCATTTACTCATTTGTCATGATATCACAATGTAACACGAACAAACCACCGTGTAATCATTTGATATCTATCATATCTGCTAGATTCAATAAGACCGCAATTCAATCCTGCAACTTACGGCCCCAAGTGTTTTGCTTTTCTTCTTGTTTTTCTGACCCACCATCTTGGATTCCATTTAAACAATGAGTGCCAGGGAGCATATTTCTATACTTTAGTGTCTAAGAGGTAAACTCCATGACCTTCGTATTAATACTATTTCTCCTTTTAAACTAAAACTTTCTTCATGGGCCCATTTTGTTTACAAAAGCAATAGACCCACTGTCCCCTAACTAGCATATCGTAAAAGGCTAATAATTAGGAGTTTTCCTTCAAAGCTGGAGCGTATCTGCAAAGATTCAACAGTCTGCACACAGGCAACCCTGATCTGTAAAACGGATGTGCACACAAAACTTACGTTCTAGAACAAGGCTGAAGTCCAGAAGTGGACGAACAACCAGAACTTTCCACTAGAGTTTACAGCCAATGAATGTTTAGAAAGAAAAAGAAAAAAGGAGAAGAAGAAGAAAACAAACCATCAGCACTCACTTCAAAAACGTACGTGCGCAGTCTTGTAGAGCAGACATCAGAGCTGAGGAACGTTAAATGCTGTCGTGTCAAGATACACACACTTGCGAGCATTGATGTACCCTCAAAGAAAGTGCAAAAAATAAATTAACGTAGTCTTCTGTGTGCCATTTCAGAGGGGGAATTGATCACACCCCCATTATTACGTAGGGACGCAAATATAACCCACAACCAGACGCTCAGTTCCTACATTCTACAGGGGCCGAGGGAGGCCCCATTTCTACCCCACAATTTTGCAAACGATGTTAAGTGGTCTCTGTAACCATATACAAACATTCTATTATTAAATGGGGTGACTATACGTCCGTTTGTCACCGGACAGTCCCGTTATTTACTGGGTACAACTCACGTTTTCGGGCCCAGGGACACCGTGATTAGGCTTTCATTGATGTGTCTTAACTTTTCACATGCGCGACTTTCTCCTACAGGGACGTCAGGTTGCATAGTCTCCTATAGGGGTGTCAGGTTGCATAGTATTCTACGGGGGTGTTAGGTTGCACATTCTCCTCTACTATCACAAAATTCCATACTATACGATGCTACCGCCACTTTTAACGACTCCCTAACATCTACAACTGGCCCTAACTTCAACCCTCCTATGTGACAGCTTCAGCCTAGGTCCCACGTGAGAGTGCATTCTACGCCCCGTGGTTTCAGATTTCTTAACATTTTGTAGGGGCTGCCAAAACACGTTGTTGCTCCAGAAAAGCAACAGTACCTTCTTCGTTACAAAACAAAAGAACATGACACCCCTGTGACACAGAGTCGGGCGTGTGAAAGGTCACGAAGGATGAATCAACGGCCAATCGTGTTGTGTTTGGGCCCGATTTAGTGAGTTGTTCCTTTAACTATGTCACCGTCATCAGGTCGGTACTAAAATAAACCGTCTGTTGTCCAGTCTTACAAAATTCTAACAATTAGCTCGCGAACGGAACAAACAATTATAGTTAGTTACGTCTGTAAACAATTTTTAATTTCATCGTTTTACACCCTGGCCGATCGGTTAGAACACTGGGTTCTCATGTGGTAGACCTGGATTTGAATACTCTGTAAGGCTAGCTTTTTTTAATGTCGGGTGCAAAAATAAAATTCTCACCTGCACAGCCCGTGGCGACAGCACCAGCCATGCGGCCTCTTCAGGAGACCCCCTCCCCCCGCCTACACTGCAAAAGTGGCATATAAAGGTAGTCATTGACAGTTGGCAATATTTTACATACTTGTTAGTAGATAAAATGTGTGATGGGAATTTTCATGCTAGAACTTCTTTAAAAGTTCGGTTAAAGAGCACATTGTTTCGTTTATTTCTTGGCAACAGTGGTTCGGATTTTAATACCATTGAGGCAAATCCTTTGAGCCCACTGACCTAGAGAGAAAGAAATTTAAAAAAAAAATGGGGGGGGGGGGGGTGTAAAATGACTCTCTTTTGGCGTCAATTTCAGTTCAACATTTTAGTAAGTTGTCCCGTTTTCAGCTCAACATTTTAGTAAGATGTCCCGTTTTCAGCCCATTTTAGTAAGATGTCCCGTTTTCAGTTCAACATTTTAGTAAGATGTCCCGTTTTCAGATCAGCATTTTAGTAAGATGAATCCATTGAATATATGTTATTGTGTTTCTTCTTTCCGATTTCCAGACTGGTATAACCGTTACGAATACCCTCATTACAACTATTTTGGAGACTGAACAGTGTTTCTGTGGTTTGTACTGTTGGGCTGCCATCCAGATAGAGATTTTAAAAGTTCAGGGTGTCAAACCTGCAGCTAGTGACTCATGGAGGGAAAACCGCCAGTGTGTGCCCTTTAAACCCCCAACAGAACGTATCTCCTCGGTCAGCCCTCATCAGATCAATGCAGCTTATACTATCGGGTATGTGTTCTGTGGGGTGGAGAGGATGAATGAATCTTGAACGAAGGTGACTCACATAGAAAAATGATTGTCCACAACAGACCAAGACAACTTACATTTTTTGGTCGTGTCATGAGAAGGAGAAAACTGAAGTATCTGGTGACGATGGGAAAGCTGGGGGGACAGAGGAAGATCGAGAGAGAATATATTGAACGGTTTAACATCATTACAGGGAAGATCATCTGTTTTAGAACGGAATAAAAGTACACGAGACATCACTTTGTGATGCCATCACCCATTTTCACTAGGGAGGGGGGGGGGGAGGAATCCATGATTAAGCGTTTATGTCAATCTGTAATGAGACAGGAAACAAAAGTCTGTGAACAGACATGCTGACTCAGACAGTCGCATCAACGCATTAACTACAAAGAGAATAAGAAGCACACCAGTAAACAATTAGAGTGAGAGGTAAATATTGACGATAATTTGGGAAAACACGATTCGATTTTTCGATACTAGACGCTTGTTTGATGTCGGGCAATTAAACAAAAATCAATAGATCCGATTTGTGGACAATTAATAATCACGCTTTCCTGCCTTTGCTCCCAAAGGACGATAACTGCTGCTGGTTGCATATTTATTTAAACTGGAGGGAATTCAGTTTTGCCACGACTCTATTTTTGTACTAAACAGCAAGATTTTATTTGTTCTATTATATAATATTTTTAGAGGGTGGTTATTGCTGTTGATCTTTCACTCTTCCTTCTCCCACTGCTTTCCTCTTCTTCCGCGATAAATTCCTCCACCTCATTTATCGTTTTTTACATCATCATCATCATCATCATCATCATCATCATCATCGTCGATCATCAATCACCATCATCCTCATCATCATCATCATAACATCATTCTGTGGTCCAGTTGTGGGATGCAATTTATCGTCTGGAGCTTCCGGAAGCAAGTTGTATTCAGTTCTTTTTCTCACAATCCTTGTAACAGAGTGGAGGTGAAAATGGGAGCCCACAAAACCTTTAAAATTAAGACCAAGCTTGCTCGCAAGATGAAGCCAAACAGACCCATCCCTTAGTGGGTTCGTATGAAGACAGCAAACACAATCAGATACAATGCTAAGAGGCGTCACTGGAGACGTACTAAGCTCATGATGTAATCTGCTACCTGCATTGTCCCTGGAGTCATTTGATGGCATGCTTTGTTTGTAATGTTGCATCTGGTTTGATTGCAATAAACTTTTCTTTGCTGTAAAAAAAAAAAAAAAAAAATAAATAAATAAAATTATCGTTGTTTGAAGCTCCACTCTAGATTTTTCCGGGGGCCCTGAAATATAGCTAGGCCACAGTTATGGCCATAAAGGCTGAAAGATGTTTCTGGGACCTCTCCACGGGTGATCCTCATCACATGGTGGCACTTTGTGTCACCGTTTATCGATTGTGTGATGTTTTGGTGATGTACAACAGGCAAGCAATCATCATCATCATCGTCATGGAATTGGGAAGTCCTTGTTTCGCCCAGATGTGTGTCTGGTTATTTCAAAGGCACGCCTGACTTTCGTCGGCTAACCTAATGGTTGAATGGAGTGTCTGGGACTTGCGCTCGTGGGATTCTCATCCGAATGGTCGCACTTTGTGTCACAGGGTGTGTATCGGTCTTTGTGTGGTCCTGGTGGAGTTGACAGTCACTCACTCAATCATTCATCGTCATCTTCTTCTCCTCCCAAAGAGGGAAGGGCCCTCAATCAGATGGCGACAAGCTTGCCCAGCTTGCCAAATGTCTACCTCAGCTCACTTCTTGACCTCCCAGTTTGTTATCCTGTCTCTACTTCTGTTTTCTCTGTGTGTGAGCCCGCGCATGTGTGTGTGTGTGTGTGTGTGTGTGTGTGTGTGTGTGTGTGTGTGTGTGTGTGTGTGTGTTCTAGGTTAAAGTAAGCATATCGGTCATTCAGATATCTTTTAAGTTTCCTTATCTAGCTTCAGGATCTCTGGGGGACGACGTGTTGGATGAACAATCCAGTTTTCGGCTATCCCCCGAATAACGGTCCCAAATTATGGAGGCCGGAAATATACCCTAACAGGGCCTCAGTCACATGTAAATTTGCTCGTGAGTCCCAGCCATCTAGTTTAGCCCCACTCCGGGAAATACTCTCGACGGTGACGGTATAGTCGCCAGAAGAGGTCCGCACTTCCCATGTGACTGAGGCCCTGTTAGGGTATATTTTCGGCCTCCCTAATTTGGAACCGTTATTCGGAGGATAGCCCGGTTTTCTGTCCACAAGTGTTCATAAAGCGGCTGGTGTTTACGGCTGAATCTTTCCACCAAAGCTGCAGTGAGCAGCACCACCTATTCATTTAGTTGCCTTTTACGACATTCTTGGTGAGCTGCAACGTTGTGATCAACCGCAGTCCTTGGCGGTAATCAGACCACAGCTCACTTGCTGTGAGATCTAGACAACAGTCGAACTGAAACGTGGACAAACAGGCGGCCAGTATTTCATGTTGTGTTTACCCCTGAGCTTCTTAGATCGTTATATTATTCTGTTGAGTGATCTAACATCTAGGACGTGTTTTCCACAGTTCACTGTCAACGATGTGCATTTGTGGTTCATTCACACGACAGACAACTTATTGGTGACCAGGTTTGTTGTAGAACTTCGCTTCACTTCACTTCACTAATAGTATTGCTTATTTAGATAAC